ATCAGTTCCAGTTTCACTTTCCAGTGGATCCCCAGCATCCCTGGGATCCCCATGGGATTTTCCCATGGGATTTTCCATCCGTGGACTGGCCAAAGAATGTCAAACGTGGACTGTCAGATGCAGCAGATGTCGAAAAACGTTCGAAGCAATTCCTTTCGACAGCATGTTCTTGCTATCCAGTGGATGTTTCAAGTGTCAACATGCCTCTGAACTTAAATGGAAATCTAAAGCAATGATTCTGATTCTCCAAGCCAAGGAACCAAAGCACGGGCCTGATGCTTTCTCCTGATGGACAATCACCCGTGTTTCACATCACAAAAATTGTTGGGCTATGTTGCGTTTAGGTCCTACAAGTATTAGGCAGCACATGGGCATCCCTGTAAAGTGTATAGACGCTGACCAAATCCTAAATCAGGAAATCGATGTTTTGAAGTCTTTCTTCGCAAACATAGTCAGACCCACCCACACACTTGAAGTCCAAATTATTGGACCTGTTGAAGAAGTCATGTAGATTGTCCATCCGCAAACAGAGGTTTCCTTTCGGTTCTCACCGAATTGACTTCATGATAGAAGGAACTGGTGGTGTCAAACTACATATCGATTACTTGCAAAGAACAACCTCCAATCCTTTGCGGTCTTACCAGTATTTACCAGTATCATGTACAATAGCCTGCTACATAATCTTCATCAATCAAGCTTCAAACCAGTGAAACATCGGCAAATTAAACTGAATAATACAACAAAACTGGAGAAAATAATATGTTGGTGAATGTTGGTGATTACAATGGGTTGGGGCTGCGTTCATGATACATCAAAAGCATCGACATGCAGCCAAGAACATCAACTGCGCACCTTGGAGAATGTGCTTCCGTGTCCATACCACATGGATTGACCTCTGTCCTGCTCCTGAGCGTGTGACGGAGTCTGTGCAATTCTGTGTGCATTATTTATATATATATATATATCCGCCGACCCCGGCCTTTGCCAAGGCAGGGGCGGCGCCTGGGACCACCGGAGGTGTGGAACTTGGCTCTCGGGTCGCAAGCAAAGGCACACGCCATCAAGGCAACACCTCTGCCAGCTACATGCCCCAGCCATCTACATGCTCCTGCCGAACTCTTACACCTACATGCCCCTGCCATCTGTTTTTCAGGGGGTTCAAGACTGCCGTTTGCCCGGCCTCAAACCCCCCAAACGCTTCTGCAGGCCTCCAAGGCAACAACTCTTACAGCTACATGCCCCTGCCATCTGTTTTTCAGGGAGTTCAAGCCTGCCGTTTGACCGGCCTGAAACCCTCCAAACCTCCAAGGCAACAACTCTTACAGCTACATGCCCCTGCCATCTGTTTTTCAGGGAGTTCAAGACTGCCGTTTGACCGGCCTGAAACCCTCCAAACGCTTCCGCAGGCCTCCAAGGCAACAACTCTTACAGCTACATGCCCCTGCCATCTGTTTTTCAGGGAATTCAAGCCTGCCGTTTGCCAGCCCGCAAAACCCCCCAAATGCTTCCCTGCAGCTCCCATGCCGTTTGCCAGCTCCGGCATTGTCCTTTTATGGTGGTTGAAGCCTAAACCCCCCAAATGCTTCCCTGCAGCTCCCATGCCGTTTGCCAGCCCCGGCATTGTCCTTTTATGGTGGTTCAAGCCTGCCGTTTGCCAGCCCGCAAAACCCCCCAAATGCTTCCCTGCAGCTCCCATGCCGTTTGCCAGCCCCGGCATTGTCCTTTTATGGTGGTTCAAGCCTGCCGTTTGCCAGCCCGCAAAACCCCCCAAATGCTTCCCTGCAGCTCCCATGCCGTTTGCCAGCCCCGGCATTGTCCTTTTATGGTGGTTCAAGCCTGCCGTTTGCCCGCCCGCAAAACCCCCCAAATGCTTCCCTGCAGCTCCCATGCCGTTTGCCAGCCCCGGCATTGTCCTTTTATGGTGGTTCAAGCCTGCCGTTTGCCCGCCCGCAAAACCCCCCAAATGCTTCCCTGCAGCTCCCATGCCGTTTGCCAGCCCCGGCATTGTCCTTTTATGGTGGTTCAAGCCTGCCGTCTGCCCGCCCGCAAAACCCCCCAAATGCTTCCCTGCAGCTCCCATGCCGTTTGCCAGCCCCGGCATTGTCCTTTTATGGTGGTTCAAGCCTGCCGTTTGCCAGCCCGCAAAACCCCCCAAATGCTTCCCTGCAGCTCCCATGCCGTTTGCCAGCCCCGGCATTGTCCTTTTATGGTGGTTCAAGCCTGCCGTTTGCCAGCCCGCAAAACTCCCCAAATGCTTCCCTGCAGCTCCCATGCCGTTTGCCAGCCCCGGCATTGTCCTTTTATGGTGGTTCAAGCCTGCCGTTTGCCCGCCCGCAAAACCCCCCAAATGCTTCCCTGCAGCTCCCATGCCGTTTGCCAGCCCCGGCATTGTCCTTTTATGGTGGTTCAAGCCTGCCGTTTGCCCGCCCGCAAAACTCCCCAAATGCTTCCCTGCAGCGCCCATGCCGTTTGCCAGCCCCGGCATTGTCCTTTTATGGTGGTTCAAGCCTGCCGTCTGCCCGCCCGCAAAACCCCCCAAATGCTTCCCTGCAGCTCCCATGCCGTTTGCCAGCCCCGGCATTGTCCTTTTATGGTGGTTCAAGCCTGCCGTTTGCCCGCCCGCAAAACCCCCCAAATGCTTCCCTGCAGCTCCCATGCCGTTTGCCAGCCCCGGCATTGTCCTTTTATGGTGGTTTAAGCCTGCCGTCTGCCAGCCCGCAAAACCCCCCAAATGCTTCCCTGCAGCTCCCATGCCGTTTGCCAGCCCCGGCATTGTCCTTTTATGGTGGTTCAAGCCTGCCGTTTGCCCGCCCGCAAAACCCCCCAAATGCTTCCCTGCAGCTCCCATGCCGTTTGCCAGCCCCGGCATTGTCCTTTTATGGTGGTTCAAGCCTGCCGTTGCCAGCCCGCAAAACCCCCAAATGCTTCCCTGCAGCTCCCATGCCTTTTATGGTGGTTCAAGCCTGCCGTCTGCCAGCCCGCAAAACCCCCAAATGCTTCCCTGCAGCTCCCATGCCGTTTGCCAGCCCCGGCATTGTCCTTTTATGGTGGTTCAAGCCTGCCGTTTGCCTGCCCGCAAAACCCCCCAAATGCTTCCCTGCAGCTCCCATGCCGTTTGCCAGCCCCGGCATTGTCCTTTTATGGTGGTTCAAGCCTGCCGTTTGCCAGCCCGCAAAACCCCCCAAATGCTTCCCTGCAGCTCCCATGCCGTTTGCCAGCCCCGGCATTGTCCTTTTATGGTGGTTCAAGCCTGCCGTCTGCCAGCCCGCAAAACCCCCCAAATGCTTCCCTGCAGCTCCCATGCCGTTTGCCAGCCCCGGCATTGTCCTTTTATGGTGGTTCAAGCCTGCCGTTTGCCAGCCCGCAAAACCCCCCAAATGCTTCCCTGCAGCTCCCATGCCGTTTGCCAGCCCCGGCATTGTCCTTTTATGGTGGTTCAAGCCTGCCGTTGCCCTGCCAGTGCAAAACCCCCCAAATGCTTCCCTGCAGCTCCCATGCCGTTTGCCAGCCCCGGCATTGTCCTTTTATGGTGGTTCAAGCCTGCCGTTTGCCAGCCCGCAAAACCCCCCAAATGCTTCCCTGCAGCTCCCATGCCGTTTGCCAGCCCCGGCATTGTCCTTTTATGGTGGCTCAAGCCTGCCGTTTGCCAGCCCGCAAAACCCCACATCACCCATTTTTTAGTATATTTTTGATACCCCCAACACACCAACCCCACCCCATCCCCAACCCCATCCCCATCCCCCAACCCCTCGGCCCCACCATGTGAAGCTCCAGGCCATGGCGATGATGAGGCGCCACAACTCGTGGCCCTGGCGCGGCAAGCTCAGCAGCTTCCGGAGATCAGTACCCTTGATTATCCCTGAGTTTCAAAATCAATGATACTCTACCACCAATCATACAATGATAGGAGGCAAAATATGCTTAAAAATATGAACTGAGGTCTGACTTCAAATTTGTAGCGTCATACTCATTGCATACACATTGCACATTGTGTGGCAAATTGAATTGCGGCATGTTGGGGCATATCAAAACATATATGTCCATGTCTGTCCCACCATGTACCACCATCGACCTCAGCACGGCCCGCCGGAAGCGACGCGCCACTGACCCACTGAACCGCTGATGCCGTCGGATGCCGTCGGAGTATCTATCTCTCCCTCTCTATCTATCTATCTCTCCCTCTCTATCTTTCTCTCCCCCTCTATCTATCTCTCCCTCTCTATCTATCTATCCATCTATCTATCTATCCATCCAGCTATCTATCCATCTATCTCTCCATCTACTTATCTGTCTATCCAACTGTCTATCTATCTATCTGTCTATCTCTCTCTCTCTATCTCTCTACCTATCTATCCATCCATCCATCCATCCATCCATCCATCTATCTATCTCTCTCCCTCTCTCTGCAGGACCCCCCAAATAGGGGGGGTCGGCGGCACCCGGGCGCTAGCCCATTATATAGATGGCTTCGCCAAGCCTTGTTTTTATCAAGGGCATGCTTTTCCTTCAGTCTTGGCATGACTTGGCAATTCTGGTGTTGGAAGAAATGCTACAAGTGCTGTGTCTTGTATTCTTCATGCATCAACCTTGGTCCACAACTCCCGCTTCGACACGACATGCGCAACATGTGAGCTCATGTGTCCTTACAGAACAGCGATCCCGACAACATGGCAGCAGACAGAGGAACCAGGAGCCAACAAAAGGCTGCAGAGCCACCAAGTGCAAAGTGCTGTAAGTTGAGAATCCACGGTGATGAGCCCTTGACCTTGGTCATCCTTGGTCATCCTTGGTCACCCAGGAACAATCGCCCAACCCTCCATGAAGGCGTTGTTCCAGTGGCTTGTTGGAAGCTTTAATCTATATCTATATATATATCCATGAAGAATCCCTGAAATTTCTTTGGAAAAGCATGGGAAAGGTAGCCACAGGTGGCCACTCAAGACGGCATGAGTTATGCGAGACGCATTGAGACGCAGCACAACAATGCCCCCAGGCTGCACCCTAGCACGCTGGGCTGTGTTGTCCATGAGTTCCTTGGGCAGTCTGTTCAGGTTCTGAGCCGAGCTAAGGGGTTGAAATTGATGTTGATTGAGGATTGATTGAGCGATATTGAGGGGTTACTTTTCCTGCCATTTTCTTTGGACTGCCAATATTCATTCAACATCAGAGCTGCCTCAATGGCCGACAAAGCTGCACTTCACATGGGACCGGCAGATACTAAATACTGGTGGTTTCAATCCGGTTGAACAATATCATTACAATATCAGTCAATTTCAAGCGTGAGTTCAAATAGAGGCAAAAAATGGAAAACATCAAAACGTAATTGTGGAAAAGGACCAATACAATACAATACACCATACGTCACCATACAGTATCCGAAGCCACCAACAACAGTCGGATAAGTTGGCAAATGTTGGCGCCATGCCGCCCAGCTGCGTGCCGGAAACTGAAGGCGATGGAATCAACCACTACGGCGCCCACTGGCCTCCGCCGACCCTGGCGACGACTCGATCCAGCCAGAATCCCAAGTGAAATCTCGGATGAAGTCTTTAATCAGGCTATGGCAGCGATGGTTTTTGAATGTTTTTGATATGGTTGAATATGGTTGAATGAGAAGTTTATATAATTTGGACCGATGAAACCGCCAGCAGACTTCAGGCCTTTATGAATGCTCCAAGCTGCTTTATGGTGGAGTAGAGTTCGGTGGCGTCGTACTGCGACAAGCAGAACAACTGCCACTGCAAAACAGCACACTGGCACACTGGCACACTGCATTCTTTTTCGAAGGGAAGATCAAGCTGTTTCGGAAATCCAAAGGAGCAGAACACCAACTTCTGATTTCTGCAGCCCAAGCACAGCCCGACAGACGTGGAGGGACCGCATCACTGCCTGAATCAGCGGAACAGAAAAGAGTAGAAAAGAGATCAAAAGAGTAGAAAAGGGAGTTTACTAAAGACATCTAAAGACATCAGCACACATACAGCACTACTCCGCAAGACCTGGACCTTTGTGTTGAACCACTAGCTTGTGTGATTGGCCTGGAATGCGTGAAGTTTCATTCAAAACAAATCATCTTGAAACCCAAAGAAGGATCTGGTATTTATCACATTTTATATATTCATAATGTCCTTCAGGAGCAGAATAAAGATGAGGTGGAAAGGATAGGCATGGGGATGTGGATGACGAGGATGATGAGGATGAGGGTGACCAGGTAACGGTGGTAATGATCACAGGCTTGCCTCCAGCTGCGCAGCTGCAGCGGGAGGATCTAAATGTGGCCTGCACAATGCACGAGCCACCAACCTCAACTATGAGCAATATCTTCACTCTGATCATAAGTGTCGTACAATACTACAGTATGTGCTTTCATGCACAATATAGTAAATAATTATATAAATTATATATATATTGATTTATATTGTATAATTTATATTGTACAATATTATATTATTATTCTTTATATTGATATACACACATGCATACATAATATATGAAATTAGAGAGAGAGAGAGATGGGAGATGCTGTGCAAACGCAGAGCGACTGCACCTCGCTTTTTGATTTGACCACACTCAAGTCCCTGGAAATCAGTCCATCTTTGAGGACCAGCTCCGTCCAGCTCCCACCTCCGTTCCGCCAAGAGGGCTTCGCACACCTGGCCATGGGACAATGTCATCTACGGAGATCTCATAAACAAGAATAGATTGCGCGTGTATGCGCATGTTGGATTTCCTGTTCTAAGATGATGATATCTTGTCATGTTTGCAGTAGGGTTGGCTGTCAGCAGAAGTCGCCTCACGCCTCCTGATGTGCTGAACCAAGGCGCTAGATTTACTGTAGATGCTTCCAAGAAGGTGAGGAACAAAAACTTAGCAGAGCTTCATCAAAGCCGCTCACTTGCCGGTAATCAAGTCGCTGTACCACCCTCCGTACCGCCTGCAAATATCGCTGCGGCACAAAGGAGCCCTCTGTGTCAATAAAGACTGCCTGAATCCAAAGTGAACGAAGAAACCCAGCAAAAGGATGAGCCACTACTTTCAGGACTGAATAAAAAATGGAGTGGATCAAAGCGTCTTTGTTATTGACGGATGAGGCCCTCAAGTATTTCCAACAAAGGAGAGCCTAATGCAGTTCAGCTGAGCTGTTGCTATGTTCAGCTATTGCTTGTGCAAAACCTGCTCCGCTCAGGAGCGAGTTTGGGCCGTTCGGGCAGCAAGGAAGAGGCGAAAGGGAAGACAAGAGGACATGGAAAGGGATTGCAGACTTGAAATGACTGACATTACCAAGACTTTGCTCCAAGAACAAGGGAAAGAAGTGTGCAATGTGTTTAGTTTAACTCATACGCTGATTAAATTGCTGCCAAAATGTGAAGCAAAGGCGAAGACTGAGTCTCCCTCTATCAGGAATGCTATTACCATGGCATCTTCTTTAGGGCTGGCTGCAAGAAGTCTCAGCTAGAAGCTACACAAGAAGGATTTAGCAGGGAGATGCAGGGAGGCAAATAAAGTCACAAAAGCAACGTCTGGCAACCAAAAAAGAGCGAAAAGCATTGCCGAAACCATGTGTGGTAGATTTCAGAACAATCAAATAGCATGAACCCACTGGATTTCTCGTATTTTCTCAATCTCATTTGCCCCGAAAACTTCCCTCCAGCGCCTCAACTATACTGATGTTTGGGTCGCATGGAATCTGCACTGCTGCACACAGCTGCCTGCACATTGCGAGCCATGTCGGCAACAGCTCCCTTACCATCACCATCTTTCTGCGATCCAAATCATCATTCATTACTGCAATACGATGCAATATTTATAGCCGTGTATCTGTCAATACTGTATCTAGATGAGCAGGTTCCTGTACTGTACAGTGGGAATCAAGCATGCCTTTAGTTGCTGTAGCATCCAAATGTTCATCCCTGGGCATGTTTTCCACGGTCCGAAATCCCCTTTGGCATCAAGTGTAGCTGCCAAGATGCAGGCAGAACTGGGTCTTGCCACTGCCAGGCAAGCCGAAGACCTGCACAACTCACTGCATTGCTTGGGCTTGGAGCTTAGTCTCAAACCACTATAGATTGGCTGGTGATTTTAACACATCCCGACAGTCTGCTCATCAATTAGGGCAAGCATCCACTGGAGGTTTGGAAAGCAAGAATAGTTGAAACTAGCAACCAGTATAGCCAGCAGTAAGCATTTGATGCGTCCATCCATGATCAGCTCATGGAATACAACCCGCCAGGATGCTCTGCCGGTATCCAATGCACGCCTCTAGAAGTGCTCCACCGCGTAAAGCGTTGCCCAGAAGCTGGTTTAGACCTGCACTGGCATAATGACTGGAGACATGAGTTTTTTGCGGTGCACTGTGTACTTCTGGGTGATACGCAATGGTTGCCTTGATGCTTACGAAATCATCTGCGCCAGTGGCCAACATCTGTTCCTTTTTGTCGTCGCCTGTGCAGGGCAACGTGACTTTGGGCCGAGCGGTCTTCCGTAGCAGCGACAGCGCAGAGTCAGCACTACGCCAAGCCTTAGTGACTTAGTAACGTTAAAGATTTGCCATTCCGATGCTACAATGATCTTTGATCACACTCTCCGGTTTAAATAGCTACGGATTAAAGATGGTTGCCATATGTTGCCATTATTTATCAAACATGGTGACCTGGTTACAAATGGTTGCACCAAGCAAATCCAAGCAGCATCCTTTGCGGCTTCTTGACGACAAGCACTCAGCATGCTGTTTGCCCGCTGCTCCAGGCCAGCAACATGATGCTGCGCCAGGACCTGTCACAAAGTGTTGCAAGGTCACAAGGATTCGATAATGAATCTGAACATATCTGAACTGCTCTACTGACAGAGTCCAACAAACCAAAGCACTACTAGAGTTGAAATATATAATATTAAATTAATATTATATAATATTACGAAATTATATAACTATAAATTCTACAGTAATTAGATGTAATTAGTAATTAGCTACTATAGATGCTATTAGCCAATTGGATCACACATGATCGCACTATTCTTCAAGTTTCAAGGTATTCCCCGTTGACACCGAGTTCATCCCCGGGACCGGCGCCTCTTTCAACGCCTCCGGCGTGACGTCGGGTGCTTGGCGGCAGCCCCGGGAGATCAGGGCATCCGCCACCGGAGTAGGGATCGAGTGAAGGATCCGCACATCCAGCGCCTCCCGCGCGCCATGGAAATGTCCGGAGATTTGTTGGAGAACCCAGGGTCCACTTTGGGAACCTTTAGGCAGTTGGGCAAAATATGGCCAAATGAGGGCATTTAACTTAATGGATGCTAATGGAAATTTCGCGCATCAAGACCTCCGGCCTGCCGTGAGGTGTTTCTATCAAGAATGCTGTGAAAAGAAACGCAAGGAATACTCAGCACGTGGAATCTGCCTTAATTGCCAAAGATTGCGAATTGTCAAAGTAAACAGAACCCTTTGACTTTGTGGATGACAAATCCCAAGCTATGTCCCTTTAAAACCTGTGAAGCATACCATGTTACACCACAATTCAGGCACCTGCGCAGAAGCGGGAAGCTTGGCATCCATTGAGATGCTGGGCCCACTACAGGTGTGGGTCATGTCAACAAGCCCAGATTTACGTGGTGTCTGCGCCTTTTCGGGCTAAGAATTGACTTGAGCCGCATGTTCGCTGCTAGTTTCTGAAGCTGTCAGCGGAACTACCTTGTATTTGACTTGTTACATTTGTTACATGGAACGTAATTAGTAGAGTGGCAACTGCAGATCTAGAGATTCGATGCTTTGCAGAGTGCCTGGTTGCGCCAGCCGTTGCTGTTTGTGCTTGAAATGTGACTGTGAGGGCTGGAGATGCAATCTGTTCCGAGGGTTGGCTGTCATTGACGGTGTCTTAAGTAAGCCCCTTTGCTGCTGAGCACATGCAAATTCGATTGACAGTTTAAGGATGTGCACGTCGAAGCACGAAATCACCATAAGGTGTCAAAGGCCAGTAGCGCGGTTTCAAAATTCAAATTAAATGGGTCCATTCTTTTGAGTGCCGGTAGTGCAGGCAAGCCCCAAGATTCCCGCTCGTTTTTTTGTCAAAAGCTCCCGCAACATGTGGGGGATGAAGCCATGGAGTTGGAGTTGTTCCTGCAAAGTCAATCCGGTCCCCTTTCAGACCGGGCGACTTGAGAATTCTTTGTGCATGTCTGTCCAGAGACATCCTGGAACATCTGGAACCTGCCAACTGATCCAGAAAAGAATGGAGGACAACGTTAGGAGAAGCCCAACTGACCAACTGACCATCTGCCTGGAGATGAGTGCTAAATTTCATGCCATGTCAGCTCTGACTTTATGACTTCGAAATCACGATTCTGAACGTGTCACAAACGACAAACAGGTGGTGCTAGTTCGAAGTACTGTTTAGACATGTCTAGATAAGTCTAGATTCAAGCCCTCCAAACGAGGAGCATGGTACCCATGAGGTTCCAAGGCATCATTCGATGCTTCCTCACAGCTACCAGAAGTGTGAAACGGCATGTTGGCCACAGAAGGATGATCTCCATGGTGCTTTCTACCAACGCATGTCATCGGATATCCAAAAACTATTCCCATGTCAAGTCGTAGATTTGACCCAGTGCGAAACATTGTTGTTTCATGTTGTTTCTATGGACATCGCACGGCCTACCAGTCCCTGCTAGCCACACAGGTTCATCATCTCGTTCTCACCTAGTGCAGTCAACCACAAAAGCTGAGATTTCAGTACTGGCAGAAAACGCCAAACAGTTGTCTGATGTTGTCTGCATCTCTTGAGGTTCAAAGCATTCAACAAGAGGCCATGGTGGCACATCACGTGACTCTTCAACCAGCTGGGCTACAAGGAAGTGGGGGACTGGGTATTCACTGGAAATAAGCCATGGAACGTACGACTACTATATCGATGTTGAAAGCGATGAAGTCAGCAGGCAAGAATAAGTAAGATTAAGTCCTTGAAGGACAACATACTTTCCTATAGCCCAGTATAGTATCCTATAGTTGTCTGGGTCACTGGTTTGACATGAATATCAAGTCAGAAAGCACACATGTTATCCAGGAATATCCCAAGTATGATGTTTCAATATGGGATCTACAATGTGCAGTCTGTATTCTGCATGGTAGCTTTCTCAGGCGGTGAACGACTCACTTACGCATTCTCAGGTTTGTAAGGGCATTTCTAATTATGGAATTCCAGGGCTGTTAGAGATGATTTCCGTCTGAAAGGGTTCCCTTTCAATGCCAAGGCGCTGCTTCTGCTCCGTAAAGCGCCGTGCGCAAATCTCAGTGGCTTTTTGTTGGTGAGCTTCGACATGCGTTTCTGGATCATTCTTCTGTTCATTTGTTCATATTCGCCCAGTGCGAGATATAAACCCTGCTTTATGGACATCAAACTGGAGGGGAGCAGGGAGGTACAGAATACTTGATGCATGACATCATTGATCATAGTCCAATCGATTCCCTGGTTTGGATAAACGGAGTAATGGTTTGCAATATGTCGCAGATTGGATACCGTACTAATCTTTCATCACCGCCGATCATTCATAAGCCTTTTCCAGTGCCATGATTTCAACGTGCGATGTACTGGGTATGCTTCTCCTTCGGGTTATGCAGCCGAAGGTGCCCGGAGAGCCATCTGCACATCTGCCAGGGTCAAAAGGTCGGTTGCCTCCAACAATGCCACCAACGCACCATCCGGATCCATCCGGCGGAAGTTGGACGGAATTCAGAGAGCATTGACAGATATTCAGAGCCAGACAATGTTCGTTTGTTTTTTTCCATCCTTCGAGGGATGCCAAATGGAGGCATACGTACTATGTGTGAAGGTTTTTGAGTTGCCTCAACACGATTGCATTGCCAATTTAGGTGGCTGCTTGCGCTTCAATCCCAAAGGTTCGGGCTGAGAAAAAAACTGTCTGGTTTGATTCCTCTTTCCAGGTCTGGACATGGTGGAGTTCAATGGATTTCACATAATTCAACCCAATAAAAATCCATGACACCCTTCATAGGGGAAAAGGATGAAAAATGCGCCGCCTCACCGGCACCAACCTTCGGTGGTCTCGGAGCTTTGGCCTGGGTCAGAAAAATTTTGTGGGAATGAACATGGCCCATTTGAATAGGGGATGTCTCAAAAAAATCATGGGAATGAAATGGAATGAAAACCAACCAAAATGAGGACATGATGGATTATAATAGTATTATTATGGGATATTCTATCTGAATCTATCTGATATTTGGATGAACATGGTGGATTATGGTGGATTTAATATAATTGACATGTGCAATTGTTTTGAAAGGGAAAAGGATGATTGGCCAGTGCAGTTTGGGGTACAGCACCCTAATTCTGGACAAACCTAGGGAGTGTAATTAGTTGTATGCAATGTTGATAATCCTTGGATGGCAAACCCAATTAGATCTTGCCATGTCAGACTACGTCAGAGGCACTGGGGTTTCTGTTTCCCAAAGGACCCGCTTTGTTTGAACAGGATCATATTGTTTGCTCTGTCGTGTCAACCAATGCCAAAAATATGAGTCACTTCAGTTGGTCATTCCCAATAAAAGGTTGAAAATAGAACATGTTTGAAGCCACAAAAATCGTGGTGAATCCCCAGTAAATGGTGATGAAATCCCTTTCGTGCTGTAGGCCTTCTGGTTGCTATTCAGAACCCCATTTTAGCATATGAGCGGCGGACAAAGTTACATGCTACTCGCAATGGACATGGCCAAAGTGCATAGTCCCCTATTGGTTGTGAAGGTTTGTACTTCCATGCTATGTGTAAAAATAGGGTATCGGGAAGTGGGTGGTCCCCTATCGGTTGTAAAGGTGTTCACACAAATTTGAACATCCCAAGTCCACTCCCTACATCTCCCGACTACTTTAGGTTTCCGCTAATTTTGTCGGTAACATTCGGTAACTAATATATACCTTAGTTGGTGACCCTGGGCGAACCCATATTTCTTACTGTTCAAAACTCCAACCACCCTCTTTGGGCTCCCAACGCCCACCACCCCTTTGGGTCCTGCCACAGAAGCACCCACCGATTCACAGATGTCATCAGAGTCGTGATGAGGTTGTGAATCATGTTGCCATGATGCCGGCAACTTGGTGTGTCCAAGGGGATTGTACGTGATAATGTTCCACAAACATCATCTCTTGCACTCTTACGGACACACAAATACAATCAAATACTTGGGGATGGATGAAGAACTGTGGTTTCAATGGTTTCAATGGACCATTCATTTTTTTGGCCGATGACTTTGACACGTATCCAGGTGGCTCAAGGCAGGTGAGAGGATCCACTTCCGCATCTCCTTCTGCAATGGCTGCCAGTGCTGCTGACATCTTCCTGGTTCTCACTGATCACACCCCAGCAATCCACTGTATGAAAATGTATCAAATCTGTACTTGGATGTGCATCCCAGATAGGATCCGTGGTTTATAAATGTTTATAACCTATGTAACCTCTATATATATATAACATTATATAACTACTATATTTATATATAATATCATATATAGCTGGTCTATAACCTCAAGTATACAGTAAGTCACTTCGTGCACTTCGCTGTCCTACTGATCTGTGGCGAGCCTGGCGCAGGCCTCAGGTGATTTCTCCACTGCCATCAGGGAGAAAAGGTTGTGCACCACGTCCAGGAACCTGGGTTCCAAGGTCTGTCTACGTCTAAGGACGCTAGCCTGGTAGTACCAGAAATAATGCTGATGTACAAGGATGATCCGTATACCTGTAAATACAATATATAAGTGATAGATATGACATGTAAGTATAAATATAGTCATAATCAAATGAGCGATCGGCAAAACCTCTAATTGAAAAATGCGATTTAGGGTCAAAGTTATCGTTTTTGGGACTTCACTAAATATCTGTTGTCAGTATTGTCGTTCAACAATCCAAGCACGCTGGGAATATCAAGTTCTGTGTACGTCAGCTGCTTGTGCTTGCTGGTCCTGGCGGATGAATCTTGAGTGCATAGCGTGAAGATACAGCCAGTGTTGTGAAAGAGATCAAACGACACTCCGCGCATCTTGGCAGCCTGCATATTGGCCGGCACAACAACAATACTGATAATACCGGGACTAATTTTACCAAAGCAGGAGTTCAATTTTGAATAGTGCTGTAGTTTGGCCTGAAACGGAGCATGCCACCTTCTCAAATAGGTATGGTATGGACCAAGAATCAGGTTGCAGAGTGACTACAAGTGGTCTTTTTTTTTACCAGTTTACCAGTAAGTCATCATAAGTCATCCTTATCTTGTGGCGCACTCAGTTCAGCCCATATCATTGGAGCCGCGCCTGAAACAGCACCTGATGACTCATCCTCTCCAATTGAGGTGCAGCTGCGACCTGCCAGCCCCGAGGATTTTCCACCATTGAACGAGATTGAACGATGAACCATATTTGATAGATGGGGGTTTCTCAAAATGGGGGTACCCCTAAATTATCAATTTTCATGCATTTTCATAGGATTTTCCATTATCATTATAAACATTTACAAGCATTTAGAAACCATCCATAGTTTCACCAATTTGGACCAGAGGGTCAGCTGGGTCACCGGCGTGGGTGATCATGGCCCATCGCTGCAGTCGAGAAGATCTCTCTTCCTTCGAAGCTCGAAAGATCACTTGACTCAGTGGACTGTACCTCCAGGAGTTGGGATACCCCCAAAAAATGGATGATTTAGAATGGAAAATTCATGAAACTCCTAGTATTAATATGTACTAATCCTAGTTAAATGATACAGGTCAACAAGAAAAAACTGGGTAGAAGACACAGGGCACACGCAGCTGGAATCATTCACTGCAGACCAAAACCAAGATTCCAGCTTCCATGCTGGTTTGTTAGGCTCTGCAGCGCGTGCAAGCTTACATTGAAGCTGCCTTTTGTTCGTTGAGTTCAACCTAAGCATTTATTTTATCAATCAAAGGGATAATTCACTCATGTTCATTTATGACCAACTATTCACACATATTCCAAACTTCATATTCTACTCGCAGAGTCCTTTCATTCTCTTCCCGTTCACCGTTTCACCAGGTTTTTGCAAAAGTGGCTTACGCCACCTTACGAAACCCAGGGTTTTGCTTGCGCGACCCAATCATCTAACACAACTCTTCTTGAAGTGTACACGAAGGTTTCTGACTCACCATTTGCAGGGCCTTCAGCGACTTCATCCTTTCCAGCTACCCGATCAGCTACCCTGTCCTCCGTTAGGTCGTAAAGGGTATCCAACTCTCGGCTTTGTGCTGCCTGCAGAGTGGATGGGCTGGCTTCAGCCTTCGCTTTGGGGATCAGGACCGAATGGTTGAAGCCCCAAGCAGCCCGCCATTTTGAATATCTGTAGCCAGAACTACTTCATGCAACCATCATCAATCAACATCAATCAACCAAGTCTCGCAAGTTTTTGGGCTGGTCACATGAGCACGACTAGCAGGTTGGGGCGTCAGCACACATCGCACCTCCGGTGTGAGGTGCATCAAGCCCTGTGATGGCTCAGCTTTCACCTGGCCAATGAACTTCAGGGGAAAGAGCATCGCTGCCTGGCCATAGCCACGGGATGCCACTTTGGAAGATCTTGGATTCGGCCGAAAGATTGCTATGAAGCCTGTTTGGATTCCAGCAGGTTTAGGTGATTGCATGTCTACGGGCACATGAAATGACATAAACACTACAAATCAGGATTCTACTTTAATATGTTGTGATTCACGTTGGCACATTTGTCTGCTGGATTGCATACGTTTTGGCGAGCCTGTATGGTAGGTAGTATGGCCACTATGGCCACTTAATTTTGGGATTCCGTAAGAATGGAGGTGCTTCTCACAGAATTTGCAGCCCCCATAGTACCCCATATATAGGATATTATAGGATATACCAATTTGACCCAATTTGTATGCCCAGTCAAGCACACTGGGCACCTCGTCGGTCAGTCGGACATCAATATCCACCAGCCAGCCTCAGGCTTGACAGGGCAGATGCATTAGTACCTGACCTCCATACCTTTTGAATCAGTTTGATACAAACATCTTTCAGCATTTTTCGCTGAGGTGCTTAAAATTCTTTGAAGCTGCAGTGTTTATACTGTGATCGAACCTTTGGCAATGGAGTGGCCACTGCAGTCGAACAAGTTCACTTTCTTGATGGGTCGTGGTCACAACGCCAGAAAAATTTTAAAAATGCCGGCACTTTCACAATATAAAACATCGCATTCGGAGCATTCTGAGCATGACACAGGCAAACGGACTCGAAGAGGATGCCCCAACCTGGTGACCCTGGTGACGGTGTGGCCCCAAGATCAGACTCACCTCAGTGAATCCACTGCGACCGATCCACCGATACCACCGATCCACCCAGCGGCCCAGCGGCCGCGCGGCCGTACTGAGCCCAGCACTAGATCCATAGGCCTCTCACGGTACTCCTGGAAGCTTTGCATCCGTGGCATCAATCTGCTTAAAGTTACATAGTGATACATTAAAAGATACATGTATATATATATATAATTATATATATATGTATGTTTATATGTGTTTACAATCATTATTATCATTATTCTAAATTACGAGTAGCATTACTATTATTCTATTATAATATAGTATTAAAACGTATTAAAATATATTAACTAAGAAATAAAAATAAATTTGTAGTTTACTTTGTTGTAGGATCGGCAGCACCATTTTCAGTCCTGATGGCATAGAGCGGCCTCATAGTCGGCTTGTCTGCTCTGTGGAAGTTCTACCGGCCTTAGAGCTCGACACGAATCAACTCGTGGACGTCAACTCCAGGATGATGGGTGCCCCACCGCATCCCGGTCACCCTACAAAACAGGCATGATACATGCAAGTAATAATAGTAATATGATGTAATATGATGCAATATGAATGTCATGAAATTCCACTGATCATACTGTCCCTGTGAAGGACATTGTCATCGCCTTCAAAACTGTGATTTGGGTACTGCACGTCTCAAAAAACATCAAAAAACCAACCAGTTTGCCCAAGTATGATAATTATGCCAAATTACTATGTTTACAAGTAGTTGTTTTGAGCTCCCAGTTGCTGACCCCCTACTCCCCCCAGACTCGGCTTCCTGACCCCGGCATCTCGCCCGTGGCAACACTCATGTCAGGTGAAGGTGACCTCTCGCTGGCCATGAAAAAATGGGGAAATTGAACCAAATCACCGATTTCGAATGATTTCGATCTCTTTGACTTCATGCTGCTTCCCACCCAACTTCTGGACTTCTTGGGCACTTGTCGCACTTGGCTTGTTCGGTTGTTCCATGTCTCGTCACCCACGGTCCCGCTCCTCAGATCTGCAAACATCAAATCCTCGGGGTTCTCCGGCGTATCGCTGCCGATGATCGCCGGTGAGTCGCGATGCTCCTGGGATTTGGATCTGCGGAGAAAACATACAGTGGAAATGTGGAAATCTTTATCCCCGAAAAAAGATTCAAGAAAAAGTTCGACCCCACTTACCATCTATAAAGCTAATTCAGAGGTCATTTGCAGGAGTTGAAACGGGCTCTTGAAGCATCCTGAGTCCCAACTTGAGAAAATCCTGTCTTTAAGAATTGGAGTTCATGTCCATTAGCTTTCGACCGCCACAGGACACTACCAAGTTTGGAGAACATCTGATGCTGCTCATGTGGACTACCAAAACACAGTATCAGTGTCTGAAGGTCTTTGCAAAATGTCGACACAGTAGGCCTCAAGGAGATCTGGACCAAAAAAAAAATAGGGCTGCAAAAGGGCAGGACATGAAAGCCAAGACATGACTCGTTGAAGTGTGGACAATCTAAAGGACGTGTAGCTTGCGCCAAGACCTTCACTTGTGAACACCAGCTGCAAAGAAAGATGATTTCTGGTTTGCGCCTCAAGTATAAATGAGTCAAATATTGTCAGATTATGTCATCACATTCAATGGAGGTATCAGGCTCATGGCGAAAGTCTGCACAGTGGCTCCTGAAGTGACTGCTCAGTGACATCGAAATTCGGGTTGTCGAAGAAAACCACATCCTTGGAGGCTGTGGGCCCTTCCACTCTGTTTTTGGTGGTGGGAAGCTTCGGAATCTTAAGGAGACTGACTTTCATAACCAAATGTTGTTTGTTCCAATGAAGAGCTGCACAACCTCCCTCTGCCAGAACAGGCCAGCGGATGGCGCACGTGCTGTTTTCTCTTCGCAGCACCCGCATGACCGCAGAGCCGATATCATTGGACAGCATAGCGCGCAAATCAATCGTGTCAAGCAATGTCGTCCCGATTGCACCAATCAGCACAGCGTGCTGAACTTGATTGACTGCCACCACATGGGCAATATAACGCTTTATCATGATTTATCTGGCAGCACAAGCACTTTGGATGCTAACATCTGAAACAAAAGAAGTATATAAGAAGTCATGAGAAAAGACCCATGGCCTTTGAGCCGCGGTCCTGATTGGTTCCAACGGACTTTGCATGTACAATCATGTAGTGACTCCTCTCGGTGGTTCTATACCGGGCCATTGGGCTACATGCATGCAGCTCTTTGAAAGGCACCTGTCAGATCTCTCGACATCTCTCGACTAGTGAGGAACGATTTCTTGAGGTCTAATGACGCCATGAAGGTCATCACATGTGATCACACAGATTTTCCACCTGAACACGTCTGAAAACCCTCTAGATATCTCTAGATCCTCTAGGTTGCCACTTCAGCTTCAGCTGAACCAAAGAGCCAGGTCAGATCGACCTCGATGGTGAATTCCAGGCTTTGGGTCATTACCCAAACAGAGGGGTCGACGTTTCACGGCACAGCCGTCGTGCACTTCATGCCGAAGCTTGGGTTGACGGGATCCAAGCGAACGACTATGATCTATTATGATCGATGGTGGTTGTTCCGCGGCAAATCAATATTCAATTGTGACATAGGTCTGTAGGTTGAACGACTGCTGCTCCTATGATTATGTCATATTATGTCTCCCCTTGGGTTTGTGACATCTGATATGCGCACAACCTGAACGACATCCCATTGAGATCCCATTGAGATCCATTGAGATCATTGAAACATCTTCTCGCTACCGCCCAGCTGGGACGGGTACATTGTGTACCGCGCCCGGCACTGCCCCGTTGATCATAGCGTTAGTAAAGTGCATCTCACCCTCTTTGTCTTCATGACAAGGAAAAAAAAATGCTGCTCGCAAGTTTGAGTGACCAGCGAACCGTGCTATCAATATAGAACTGCCAACTAAGAAATGTTGGACTTCAACCAAAACTCGCCTCGATCAAACCAAGGCATCTCTTAGTATCTATTGATGCTGAATCTTTCGGGTTTCACAATGACAAGAAATGAAAAGTGCTGGGAGAACGAGTCAGTCTTCTGGTCACGTCCTGTAGGGTCAAGGAAAACAGGCTATGTAGAAACCTGCGCCGCAAAACTGCGTGGGGATGCGTGGGGATACATGAAGGCTGTAGTGCTATGTGTGGATCTAAGAGGTTCAAACCGTGCCAGCACAAGGTGTTTGATTCTCCCAGTACTGTAAGTCCTACTTGTCACATCTTGTCACATATTTTGATTGGCAAGTCTGATTCTGGTCTACAGAGAAGTCAAAGGACATGGGAGAATTTTCTTGATCCTTGCGCAGTCTCCACGCAGACAGGGCGTTCCTTGGAACTCTCATAGGCCGTTGGAGCATGCTTGCTACAGTAAGGCAAGTCTAGGCATAGGGATATGTTTGGACCCTGGACAGTCAGCTCTACTACTCTCTACCGTCCGTTCACATAGTGCATTGCCATGCATCGCTATGCATCGCCAGCCAACGCCCAAGGTCTGGGCTGGGCTGGGCTATGAAACCCTTAGGTGCGTTGGTCCAAGAAGAAGCAACCATTGGCTCTCGCAGTTGGGAACCTGCACCAAAGGATCCTGTGCAAGATCTGCGAAGAACTCTTCAAAGCCGCGTGGTGGTGGGCAGTACTGCAACTTATGGTGCCCGAAAGGGGAGTCCAGCAAGACGCTGTAGCGCGAATGCCTTTCGAAGACCTGAATGATCTGAGGATTCTCCTTGCGAACATAGTCAAAGGCAGTGCGGCCCCAAATGTCCTTCATCTCAAGATCTGCTCCAAACATCAAGAGTTTGGAGCAAATGTAAGCATCATTGTGCTTCACTGCCACGTGAAGTGGATAGGTGGCTGTGAACCATCTTCCTCGCTTCTGGTTGGCGTTGTTTGGTTCAAACCCATTCTGCACCAAAAAGCGATTCACATTGGCACGGGCCTCTTTCAATTCTGCGTAGTACTTTGTCAGCACCAAGTCGGTTTTGCTGGCCGCCTGGCCTCAGGGGGAAAAATGGTACAGCTTGGAGGCGGGTCGGGGTCTGTACAGTTCGGAAGTTCTATGTTGAAACACGGAACTAAGCCCTGATATAGCTGAAGAAAACGGGTTGAAGTCATTACTCAAATGTGCTGCTTGATGCTGCTTGTATTCACAGGGGAAATGCACATCAAAACAGTGAGAATGCAGCACGAGTGCGCTAAGACATGTCTTGAAAACATCCACATCATCCACTCACACAGCTATTGTCATATTTTGTCCATCCCACCTCGATTCATCGGTGTCAACAAATTCGACTGCGCAGAGAGATGCAGAGACTCTCCGGCCAAAAGCAGCTGAGCCTAAACAGCTTTACCATTTATTCCCATTCAGAGATCTGACATGCAAATGAATTCTCAAAATCCTCATTGCTGTCCTTTTTGGCGCTACCACGGCAATTTGCTGACTAGATTCATTTGCAATCATTTGCATGTAACTTTCCAAAATCTGCGGCTTGAACGTGAAAAAAACAACATGAGAAACATCATACACAATCTGATAAATATCATCGCAATAGATTCAATAGATATTGAATAATTGTAATATATAGTCATAGTCACTAGTCATTAGTATTTGTCAAATATCCACCCTCTTTCAATCTTCATAACAAATTCATAACATACATGCGAAGCATATCAAACTTCACCCAGGCATCCGCCCTGGGCCCCTAGGCCCCGCACGGCTGAGGCGAAGCCCACCAAGCCCTTGGCGGCCAGGCTGCGACCCAGTCGCAGCCCCACCTCTTGCAGCACCTCGCGGGGCCCCAATGCTTATTGGAGATGTTGGGATTGTATAAATCATATTGTTGCATTATATATATATATACAGTACTATAAATAATATATATATATGTACATATATAAGATTATGTGCATATATATATATACACCTTGTAAGCCATCTACCTTCTTTTTTAGGGTTGCTCAAGAACCACCCTGGGGGGTTGGCTGAACAGCCTATGTTTCAACACCTGAAAAACATGTTGAAAAAATCTGGTCACAATCCAATTGGTGGACCGATTGTACTGGACCAGTTGTGGTGAATCGGTAACCAAAATTCAATGCTGACACTTTGTCGCTTGTTGGTTTCAACAGGTGAAGAGAAATCCAGAGAAAGGTGCATGGCCAACAGCTTTGAAAGCAACAGTCCGTTAAGTGAATCCCTTCTCCTTCCCATGAGCCCATAAAGAGCTCCCTACTGTACCCTACCATCTTCTGTGACTCCAACACTTTGCACTTTGCTGAGTCCCAGCCTGATAACTTCCACGAGTATGAGGATACCAGGAAGCAGCTCGCACAAAGGGGGTGCTGGTCACAGTCTGGCACAGTTGGGATGCAATTTTGACTTGCTGACATTAAGTTATTGTTCTAAATAGGAGACAGCGCATGAATTGTTTCCGGAAACCAGGAATTGTCTGCACATCAAGCAGAACGCATGAAGCATGGGACCCATGCTGCTGGTGGCCTCCGAAGTTCCAAGCACATCCACAGCACCATCTGGCGCCACCTGGAAGTGCCTGTCACATCTGGCGCTAGCTGCAGCAAGGCTGTCACATTTATTGAGGCACGATGCCCCAGTCACTCTCATTGGAGTTGGTTTGAAACGGAGATAAGTACAACATCCTTGCCTGCAGCAACCGTCTGAGCTACATGAAAGGCACAACAGGCCGAACCAGGAAATGACCGGACCACGAAGCGGCCCTACTGAGGCTGCGACACACTAGTCTGAGAAATCAGATGTTCAGGTACTGCCTGGGGCATCCGTTCTTTGTGGTGAGCGTTGCTTATTTGTAGCCGCGGAAAAGTTTCCCTCACGAAATCGCTGTGTCAAGAGACGTCAAAGGAATGAGGATACCCACAATACTTTTTGAACAAGAAAATTATGAAACATGATGAAACATAGGAAACGGGCTGGTTCTTGAGGTTTAGATTAGGTTCGAGTGCCACTCCAATCCTACACATGATTGTCGTTGGGAACAAAACTGCACATGATTCAAAGGTATCAAAAGCTTCCTGACTATCAAGTACAACAGTTCAACACTTTGGCCATCCATGACGTCACCGACCTTGGGCAGCTTCACTTGGACTGAAGGGTCAGATGCGCATATACCGCGTATACATGTATATACATATACGATCGATATATATATATATACGTATATACACGTTATATATATATATACGTTATATACAATATGATTACTATTTTTCGAAAGCCTGAAAACGCCTGACCCAAAAAAAGTTGGCTGATATTACAGTATTACTTCCTGGAGCTCTTGGTGCTTCCAGATCGCCTGGATGACACATCCGATCCGGCAGGCTTCCGCCAGCCAGCTGGCAAAGTCTCCATAGACCTGCGGATTCAGCGGATTCAGGTGGATAGAAGCTGAACACTTAAGGATATAACTAAGAGGATATTTAAGGTGGGAAGTCTGAAAAACCTGTCTCCAACTTTCAAATCGGTTCATGTGATGAGAGGATATGAGAGGAATAGCCTGTCACCATCTGTCAACATCTGTCAACATCTGTCAACTTCTTCATCTGATTTATAGCGACAATCAAAACGTATCTCGACGTCAACTCGACGTCATCGCCTGACGGTTGCACAGCGTCACACGGCGAGGGACGTAGTGCTGGAGCATGGCCCGAACCTGGCCGGAGATGGTGTGCCGCTCCCCAAAGCCTGAACCAAATTCATTCAAATTCTACAACCGTTGCTCCGACCTGTCCTTAGATTTCTAGTAACTGTATTGCAGTAATCTGTTCATTGGAGAAGTGTTGAAAGTGGATTTCACTAGCTAGTTGGGAAGATAACTCCAAGATACTCCAAGTAAATCTCCTGCTGTTCAAGTGGCAAATCATGTGGTAACCCCAATAGTGAACCCCAAGTTTATAAGGTCTGGCCCTTGTCGCAATTTCAGGAATAATTTGGCATGGTTTACGTTCGTTTGGTTTACCACATTATCCACATTGGAAACGGTTGATGAGACCCCCAATGCCCCCAATGGATCATCAAGTTCACCAAGTTGTTGCGTGGTTTGGGACCCCCCATCTTGATTCATATGGCTGGTTCTCAAAATTGGAGTACCCTAAACCCCCTAAACCGCCTAAACCATTGCTGTCTTCGATAAAGAATGATGAATCCTGGATGATTTCGGGGTCCCCCATTTTGGGAACTTACCTCCCCTGTTGGGTCGATCCCAGTCTTTATTGGTTAAATCCAAGTTGTTTCTTATTCTTGGGGTATAACGGTATAACTGGTTATCACCAACCCAAATAATTTGGGTTGGTATGGGTTGGATATCTATATATATAGATATACACATAAATATATATATATAATATTATATTATATAATATACATATATATATAATATATACAGTATATACCCCAATATTTGCTGGTGAAATCCCACTAGTTCATTGATTTTCCACAGCCATCAGAGATAAAACGCCCCGCCTCTCCCGCGTCCGCCCCGATGACAGCTGGCTCGGTAAAGTCTTCTACGCCACCTGGAAGGGAGGTAGGACAGCTTCCAGTGATCCTCAAACAAATTTGAGTGTTGGTAAAGCAATGTCATAAACCACCTATATATGGATTGATGGTTTATACAACCCATAAAATGGCAAAATTTGGGGATGGTTTACTCTTGCTTTACCATGCTTTACCAATATTAAGCATGAACAAGCTACGAAAGACCTATTCAAAAATTCAGAGTTTGACTGAGTTTGACCTAAATTGTCGAAATTTTAGATTTCGACCCATGCCATACGTCACCATCAAAATTTGGATTTAGCCTGACCAAAATTGGTTCAACCAACGTAAGTTGGGATATTGACCAAGACAAGACGAACATTGTCAGCAGCTCTCTCTCTCTCTATCAATGGCAACATTTGTTATAAAATGGCCTCAAAGCTGCGGGTCCCATGGAGCAAAACTCCGCAAAACTCGATGCTCGGTGAACGAAGCTGGCCACTTGGTGTTCACCATAATGGCAATGGCCACTGACTGGTGCGCGCTTGGTTCCCCACTATCACTTTGCTGCTGGGTGACTGGTGCGAAATAAACCCATTCGGAACAAGGTTGGTCGAAAAACTGGTTACCCGAAATTCACATGGTTTGTCATTTTCCCAATTAAGTGACATGTTATGTCTATGTGGGGTTGTAGCCCATTTCAGGACCCCATTTCCCTGCCTCCCAACAATGCTGGTGCAGAGGCATGGGCACTGTGGCTCACCTACCAGGGACTGCGATGACTTCACGCAGTCTTCTGCAATTACAACCGATGTTGATTTCACATTAAAAAAACAAAAAAACACAAGTCTGCAATACCGAATCATATCACATCATATCACATCATATCACATCATAACACATCATGTCACATCATATCACATCATATCACACCATATCACATCATATCACATCATAACACATCATATCACATCATAACACATCATATCACATCAGGTCACATCATATCACATCATATCACGATAGACAGCCTATAGACAACCTATAGACATAACATGATGTAACAATCATATTCAGGAATTTTAATGAATTTTAAATATAGCTACACTGCAGATAGCCACATCCTTGCTGTGGCACCGATGCACCTGCTGCATCTTTAGCAGGTCGATGTATGCTGTGCCCCGGGAACTTCGCTCATCGTCGATCTTAAAGAGCCAAGTTCTGACCTTTAGACTTTGACAACTCCATGAGCCATGCCACGGAAAATATAGCTGGGTAGTGTTGGGTAATGTTGGGTATGATATGTCAATGATGTGGTTAAGTAATCACAAGGGATCTAACAGCACTGGGTCTTCTTTGTGTGTTTAAAAAGCAGCAACAAAAACAGTGATAATCACCGTTGTAGAAAACCAAGGGCTGCGAACCAGCTACGAACTAGGATGCTCATGTATGAAGATTCTGCAAAAGTCTGTTGTCTGGTGGTTATGAGAAATCACACTCCTTATCAAACCGTGAGGCACTGGGCCAAGTTTTCAACAAATACGAGTATCACGAACCTCAGGATGCTTCACCACAAGTCCAGCCAAGGAGTTGTAAAACTCATCCTCGCAAACGGTGGGCACTTAGGTATGGCTCAAAAAAGGGGGGGTTGCCCATCGAGAGGAACATCTGATTGCTGCATTCAACCATCCAAGCCTGAGCGTGAAGTTTTAGTTTTAGCGGAAACTGCTTTCTATCACCTGCAAAACGGATCCTCCAAAATTTCAAGACCACTCCAGTCAGTGCTTGTTCAATCTTGCTGACACATGCTGCCAGGCACTGAACCGGTCCTGTCACTTGATCACTTGAACATGATCTTGCAGCGAAAAGAGATGCTCTGACATACTCTGACCTCTGACCTTCATACAATGATGGGTTTGTCATCGTTGTCAGCAATAGAAGTGATCTTTGCTGATTGGTGGCTTCCACACATTCCCGGGCTGCAGCTGCGGCCAACCCCTTGGTCCTCGTCATAGATGTCCACAGCCCACGGTCCAATGGGCAGCTCTGCCATTTGCGCCAGTTTCTGAGCAGCGGCACGGAAGCTGAGGTTCATCGAGAAAATCAGAATGGATGCTATTCAGCGCCCAAATCGCCAATCTTGGGTCAGGTTCCCTTCCAAAGATTTACAAGCTTCATCAATTTTTCAGGTGCCTTTTCACTCGCAAAATGATGTGTGGCGATGGCAGAACTTGGGGTAATCATCATGTCCAACAAGGACAGAACTTCTCACAGCAGCTGTCAAAAAACTAGTCACCCTCCAAACATCGAGCCTGGCAACAGAAATCTCTCCAAATAGTATCGAACTGTATAGATTGATAGATGATTCTGATATATTCTGATTGTCCCATCAGTTATTTTCTGTGCTTTCATAGGATTTCTATCACCTTTGTTCTCCAAAGTGTGTTGCGAGTCCGCCCTGTGAAGTTGCTGGGGCCCGTCGCCTTGCCGTTGGACTTGGAGCTCAGCAGTGACATGTTGCGGGCACTGGGCCCAATCAACGGCAGCCTGGACAGGGAGAAACTCAGACTTGTGGGTGCTACACTATACTATACAAAAAGAAGACTATCCTCCGAAAGGGTTGGGTTACATACTATGTATTATATATATATATATATTGTCTATATTGTATTTATCATATTTATATAGATTTATATATTCTTATAATTATGATCATATTTATATTCATGTTTATTTTCATGTTTATATTCATATTTATATGCGTATTTATATGCGTATCTTCTATATTTATGTATTATATATATATGTGTGTGTATGTGGTTCAGGATGTTTAGGTTTGTTAATGTCTGGCTGGTTGAAACACCACTGGCAACCAACAACATCATCACCATTCAGATCACAGCCATCACTACCATGATCAAAAGAGGTGTACAAGAATTACTGCTACCAGCATTTCCAGGCTGCTTGAGAACAAGATCAGTAATATATATATATATAATTATATATAATATTTTATATATAATGCATATATATATACAGACATATTCTTATACCAAAATGGATCAATCAATGAAGTGTGGTTATGTCTGTATAGTCCGGGTCTCTGCAGCAACCCGGCCTAAGAGTGTTGCTGAGTTTGGCTTCTAAGTGTGTAACGACCTCTCCACAGCGAACACTGCGCTCACGTGTCGAGATGAAACGCTTTATGCAAGATGCTCCAGAATCATATCAAGTTACACCAGGCATTGATGGTCAGCTACTGCGCTACTCTTTGAAAATGGAATTAGAGTGTCCAACTCTCTGTCTTACCCTCCTCCATGTTCCTTGAATGGGTCATGGAAATGGGACTTGTCAAAACTGGTCGACTAGTCTTTCAAACGTGTGCATTCGAGAATCCATGCGCCAGAAGCTTGGTCTCCACAAGCGCCATCCACCAGTTGTGATGCCCTGAAAACCACAGTACCACGAGAACCTGATGCCTCATATTCCTCCAGGTTCCCTGCCTCTGGAATCAGCATGGCCATCCGGTTTCTCACCAAACGGCCAATTCGCTTCAAAGCCTTCAAGCCAGGTATGCGCTGTGTGGCTCATGCAAGCCTTCTCGACCAAAATAATGCCTCTTTACAGCAACACCAAATGAAATGGGTAGACCTCACCTGCAATTTCTTACAACATCTGCATGTCTTTTTTGGGCGGCTGGGGTCCTACCCATTGGGGGCCATCAACCTGCCTTGGGCGAACACAACAAAGCCTGCAGACAGCAGTTGGCTGCGTCAGCAGTGTAGCAACGAGGTTTGATTCGACACTTCTGAATCAGTTTCATCTTGGTGGACCAGAGATGCCCTCATGTTCTCTCAGTTCTGAAGCTTTCAACTTTGCGTGAAACGTCGTGAAACACACTCTTGCACTCACCAAGTATTGTCATGTTTTTCCAAAATGTTGGGTCTGGTTTCAGTTCGCAGGCTTGAGTCTGGGGAGTCTTCTACTCCGCATGATACTTGCCAAAGGTATCCACAGGCCTTAACATTGAGAAAGCGTGACAGCAGCAATCAGCGAAGCGCAATATTATGGCTTGAGGGCCTTGGCCAAGCAGTCTAATATCACAATAAAATCCCAGTACAGAGCTGCCTGGGTGAGAGAGAACTTGTCCTTCATGTCCATGTTCTCAGGAACCACGACCTGCCACATTGCTAGAGGCCCTCTGAAAAAATATCATCGAAAAGATAGGTCACCAGAAGCTTGTAGCAATCAACGGCAGGGTATAGACCATATCCACACCATATCCACACCATATCGACATATATCGACACCATATCCACACCATATCCACATAAGTCACATAAGAATCATAAGATCTTCAAGATCCCATCCTGAAAGCGGCCAGGTGGGTTCTGAATGCCACGGAACTGCATGATCTTGGAGTAGTAGTCCAAGACATCCTGGCGTCGAGCGCCTGGGCTCCCTGGACCGGCCTCTGTGGCAGCATCTGCCATCTGCCCATCTGTTCATCTAAAGCATTCTAAAGCCTTAGGAGAGCTGACATATGCGAACATAATTTCAATGAATTTCATATAATTTCCAGGTAGGGTGAACCAAAATCACAAACAAGGAATATAATAATATAAGGAATCATAGCCTAGGCCTGGCCATCCCTCGTCAATCCCGAAGCCTCGTGTATGTGTTTGGGAGCAACGAAAATGATGTCCTGGTTGGCGCACGCAGAATATAACCTTCATATCCATATCCTTTGGGCTACTTGTGGAATCTTGTGGATCATCATGGATCATCCTTGGAATCACGACTGAACAGTCTGCCGCTAGCCCCAATGTCTGGTTGAACGGTTGAACCCCAAAAAATGAGCGCATGCCTTCCACTTTTGAATTTCCTGTCTGACTTTAAACGATACTTTGATGGTGAAGCTCTTCCCAGGACCCTCCTATGTGATGTCGATTGTCTACAGCTGCAAGTATACATCTGTGCTAAATGTGGACTCATGATCTTAGATGCTATTGCAATCTATTGCATATGGGTTTGAAAACGAGCCGTGTTGCAAAGTCAAGAGAACTCGGAGCAACAAAAATCATGTTGCCGGCGAGGTCTGTCCCGCTTGCTATCTGCTAGCCGGAAGATGCGTGCAATTTGCGACGCTTGCAAGACCTGGAAGGTCAGAATGGCCAGCCGAAGCCGAGGTTTTTTACTCTTCCGTGAAACGCACAAACAAAACAAGTATTTGATCTATATATATATATATGTTGTGTATTTGGATGCTGCTAAGAGCCAAATTTCACAAACATGAAACCCAGCAATTAGCAGCCCGTGCTGGTGTACTCTGGCTATCTCCGGCTTGATCTCAGTGGTTTTGTCGCATCTCCAGGCATCTCCAGGGGGTCCAGCCTGGTAGCTGTCCATGTGCCTCCGCCGGTGCTCTGCAATGCTCAGTGAGCAGACCTCCGGTGCAGGCAACTCACCTTTCCCCCAAAAAAACACTAACTATACGTATAGCTACATTAGAACGCTGCAAATAACAACCTTAAACCGACTGGATCCAAATGGCCATTTAAGCCGTTTCTGAATATTGGGTACACCCTCGATCCAATGAAAAATCGACAATTTCAATCATAGCATCCTCAAAAATATTCAAAAATAAGTACAAATTCTATCAAGTGAACCATTTCAGAGCTTTGGAGTCTGCGAAGTGCCCAATTTTTGGAGACCGACCAGGTCAAACACAATTGGGATCCTTGGGATCCTTGGAGCTCTCGGGTCCGAAGTTGGGGGTCTGCCTGATATCAATCGTCGGATGACAATGACAATGAATAGAGTAGTACCCTCTGGTAAATTAACATAGACCCTGGCAGATAGGGGTTGGAAGACTAGTTTCCATTAAAAAATGGTGATTTCAGGGTCTATGTTTATTTACCAGAGGGTAATGTCTAAAGAATAATGTTGATGATAATAAAAACACTAGTATCATTGCATGGCATATCATTGCTCTATATCCTGAACACCCCCCCAAAAAAAAAGGCACTGGGCCACAGAGCATGCACTTCCACACGGCGGAGAGCTTTGGCCTGCCCGGAAGCAATCAATAGACTCAATAGAGTATTGGTTTTGTCGCATCTACGGGTTGAGGTGTCCTGCCTAAGACATGCCTCCGCAAGCTGTTCAAATTGTGGCTGTTTGGTCCGCAAATTGGTACTGCCATCAAATAGCCAAGATTGAAACCACTGCCACAAACACACAAACATCAAGAGTCTTGAATGGATCTCCTACTGCCAAATATTGATCCATGTGATCTGCAACATTCGTCCAACCGTTGATGGTTCAAAACACTGCCGAGGCACTTGAGATCCTTCAAAACAATCAGTGAATTAGGACCATGTTCCTCCCCCTCAGTGTCAAATTTCAGCCGTCCTCATGCGGTTGTTGTCTAGGTAGTAATAGTATCTGCATGTGTAAGTACAGCACATAATGCATAATTGTGGCAATACTTTCTCTCTCTCTCTCTCTCTCGCTCTCTCTCGCTCTCCGATATCAATGATATCAATGATATCATAGCAAAAACGTCCGTGAAGTCCTACTGTTCTGGGATCTCGTGAGACCAGGTGCACACACCTGGAACCAGTCTTGGCCAAGCTGGTACATCATCATGGTCTGCACTTTCCTTTCCTCCTCCTGACATCGGCACCACTGTCTGAGTTTCAAAGTTTTGCACAGCAAATGTCCGTCCAGGATTTGCAGGCCTATACAGTTCTAGGGCTCTGTACGCTCTGTATAGTTTCATATAGACTGGTATGAGAGCAATTGAGGGCATATGAATTGTGTGCCTACGTGTCACCTTCCACCTACACTTCTGTGATGTTGTTTCTACGTGAGAATGCAGTTCTGGTCTGTCGCCAACATCCAATTTCCTACGAATGAACTTGAAAACATCCGTTTTACCCCGAAAAGAACCAGCACTCCTCTTTTCGCAGCAACTCTTTTCTGGTTGCGCTTCTGATACAACATGTATGCCAACCCTCAGTGAGACAGATTGCGTGAAGTTGTTGCTTTGGTAGTTTGACATGTCTCTTACTGGCTCAACTGAATGCATAATACACTAACATAACACAACAGGATCTACCAGCAAATCCATCTGGGCCCCATGCAGATTGAATTCGCACAGCCGCATTGTGTTTTCTCAAGTGCTCCGCGTATCTGCGCAGCCCGTCGAATGACACAAAATACGTGGGACAGAATACCTTTTAGCTGATATTTTGAGACATAGAATCTGAATCATACACGTACGCATTATCGAAGGAAGTTTAGAAGTCAAACTTCCGACAATATGGAGAGATGAAAAGCAGAGCAGGGCAGAGGCAGAGAGAAGAGGAAGATTGGAAGAGAGAAGATCAGAAGAGAAAGAGTAAGAAGACAGAAGATACAGATGCGCGAAAAGGTAGGAAAGTCGCGAAACACTGTGTTTTTCCAATGATTTGTGGCTCCGGAGGGTCGAAAAGTGGGCTCGCTAAAGCGGCGGGTGCGGAGCCAGCTGGCCACAGGAGCGATGAAAAATTGCACGCCGTTGCGGCGCAAAGCACATTTCGAAGTCAAAAGTGTTAAAAAATGCAGTCTCGGACCACTTTTGGAAGTTGAGATGTCAAAAAAGTGCACGCCGTTGTGGCGCGAAGCACATTTCCAAGTCAACATGTACAAAACACCAGGGGTTCGGACCACTTTTGGAAGTTGCGATGTCGAAAAAGTGCACGCCGTTGTGGCGCGAAGCACATTTTGAAGTCAAAAGTGTTAAAAACTGGCGGTCTCGGACCACTTTTGGAAGTTGAGATGTCAAAAAAGTGCACGCCGTTGTGGCGCGAAGCACATTTCCAAGTCAAAATGTACAAAGCACCAGGGGTTCGGACCACTTTTGGAAGTTGCGATGTCGAAAAAGTGCACGCTGTTGTGGCGCGAAGCACATTTCGAAGTCAAAATGTACAAAACACTAGGGGTTCGGACCACTTTTGGAAGTCGAGATGTTGAAAAAGTGCACGTCGTTGTGGCGCGAAGCACATTTCCAAGTCAAAATGTACAAAACACCACATGTTCGCGCCACTTTTGGAAGTTCAGATGTCGAAAAAGCGCACGCCGTTGTGGCGCGAAGCACATTTCGAAGTCAAAATGTCCAAAACACTAGGGGTCGGACCATTTTCGGAGGTTCAGATGTTGAAAAAGTGTACGCCGTTGTGGCGCGAAGCACACTTCGAAGTCACACTACATTACAGTACATGACACTCCAGTACACTCCGCTACACTAAATTACACTACACCACACTACAACACTGAATTTTTTTCCGCCTTTGACTTTAATGCCGTGTGACAGCGGTAGAGACAACCAGCTACGCGTAAAGTCCCCACCAATGATTGTGATCATTAATTAAAAAACACAAACAAAACCAACAAAAAACAACAAATTCAGGGGTGACGACGAGACACACCATGGGACAGTCGAATGCACGGATGCAAAATGACAGATGCCGGATCGAATGCAAATGAATGCATCCTCCCAGGGTGGATACATAGGTGCCGATCTGTGTGTCCACTAAGGACGGAATGGCATACACATTTTCCTCTTTTTCCCCATTGGGGTGACAAAAATAGAATGTAGTTTTTGATACGGCAGGGCACCGGTGGTTAAAGATGCAGTCAGTTTAACAGCAGGGACCCAAAAACTATTTCCAAGATCCTTCAGGGCGCCTGATTGCGAGACCCATTCACCAGGGAAGATAGGACACTGGTGGTGACGGGTCCAGTTAACAATACGGTTCCAAGTAAAACTTTGCTGTGAAAGTTTAAACTCAGTTTCAGCATATTCCAAGTTCTGATCAACAAGATAATATTGGCATTTGGCTGATTTTTTTCCCTTAGGTTTGACTGGAAGGGGTACTATGGTTTTTGTATATAATGCAAAGTCTATATATAGTTCCAACATGGCTGTTGGCCTGGATTCCACATTGGACCATTGCAACAACTGTGCCCAGCTGCTCAACCTATTCCAAAAAATTTCACCGAATGACACTGCAACACAGATAGACAGGTAGACAGCTAGACAGATGAAAGGGAGAGAGAGATAGACAGGTAGATAGGTAGATAGATAGGTAATTAGATGAAAGAGAGAGAGAGAGAGAGAGAGAGAGAGAGAGGCCAGCTGGGTAGATGAGATAGATAGATAGATGGCTAGACAGATAGAAGCTTTTCGACGAGTGTTGCTATTTCGACCCTGATTGGATTCATCCTGAAATGCGACAGCGGCAAGCTGCCCGGGCGAATGCTGCTGGGTGGCGCGCCAACCCAGCTGATGCCTCGCAGATGCCGGATGTGCCTGCGTGGCGGAGATGGCAGTGACCTCGCGTGTGGCTTTTCTGCCCGCGGCGTTACCGTCGGGAAGAGCGGGACACATGCAGAGATGCGCACCGCGGCACTGCTGACGGCACGCAGCGCTTCTGACCGCAGCGGCCACGACACATGCCAGCGTGTATGTCTTTTCTGACTGCACGATGATGCACTCGAGCATTTGTGCTTCATTGCAAGCCCGGCCGAAGATTCTTGTCCGTTGCTGCTTGGAAAAAAACACACTGCGGAACGACACCATGAGGGAGACACGTCAGAGGGATGTGCTAGATTTCGTCATGTGTTTGTAGTCTGTTGTGTTAACGCTGTAGGAACTGTTGAAGTTTCAATTTAGGAATATGAGGATCGTATCAGTACACGGTAAATGGATGGATTCGGATGGATCGATAGATCGATAGATAGATTGATAGATAGATAGACAGGTACACAGATAGACACCACTGCACTCCATTACACAATCTTCCACTACACTTCACTACATTACACTACACTACCCTCCACTAAAATACAACTACACCTGCAACTACACAACTACACTCCACTACACTACACTGCACTCAATTACACTCAATTACACTACATTACATTGCATTACACTCCACTACACTACACTACATTACACTGCATTACACTGCTCCCACTACACTTCACTACATTGCACTACACTACACTCCACAACAGTACAACTACAACTACACAACTACATTTCACTACACTCCCCTACACTCCACTACGCACCACTCACTACACGACATTGCACTACACTACATCCCACTACACTACACTACAACTACACAACTACACTCCACTACACTCCACTGCACTAAATTACACTGCACTACACTACATGACACTACACTACACTCCACTACGCTGCATTACACTACACTACACTACCTTCCACTACACTTCACTACATTACACTACACTACAACTACAACTACAACTACACTCCGTTACCCTCCCCGACACTAATTTACACTACACTAAATTACACTACACTACACCACATTACACTGCACTACACTACCTTCCACTACATTCCACTACACTACACTACAGCACACTACACTACATTAGACTGAATGACACTGCACCCTAGATAGACAGGTAAACGGATAGACAGACAGACAAACAGATAGATAGATAGATAGATAGACAGATAGATAGACAGGTAGACAGCTAGACAGATAGACAGATGAAAGAGAGAGAGGGAGAGAGAGATAGATCGATAGATAGATAGATAGATAGATACATAGATAGATAGATAGATTGGTAGGTAGGTAGGTAGGTGCACCATAGATAGATAAGTAGACAGACAGACAGATAGATAGATAGATAGATAGACAGGTAGACAGCTAGACAGATAGACCGATGAAAGAGAGAGAGAGAGAGAGAGATAGATAGATAAATAGATAGACAGGTAGACAGCTAGACAGATAGACAGATGAAAGAGAGAGAGAGAGAGAGAGATAGATAGATAGATAGATAGGGAGATAGGGAGATAGGTAGATAGGTAGATAGGTAGATAGGTAATGAGATGAAAGAGAGAAAGAGAGAGATAGATAGCTAGATCGACAGATAGATAGATACATAGAAAATAGATAGGTAGGTAGGTAGATAGTCAGAGAAAGAGATAGAAAGAGTGAGAGAGATCAAGCACCTTTCAGTCCATCAGTGGCTTCGCTCTGCCATCCCTGATTCACAACAACCAACCTCTCCTATAGGTTTCCTGATTTTGAAACTTTCGCCACCGCCTTGTGCGGTACTACTGGTATGTAATTAAAAACCAGGTATGCATATGTACATGTATATCACATATATATATATATCTCTATCTATCTAAGTCATGTGTATCTATACCAGATAGTGCCCAGTTCGCGCCGGAGCAAAAATTTCGAAAATATCGAAAATAAGAGATGGTTTTAAGAAATCAATGGCCTATATAGGGATGTTTTGGAAATGCAAAAACCATGAGCGGTTGAACTCAAGTTGTGAGATGCATCAACGAATCAGGAATCAGGAAATGGTGGTTCAGATGCCAATGAAATGACATGAAAGAATCCGTGCACAACTAAGTGCATGAACCAATGAATCAATGACCTGAGGAACCATTGAATCAGTGAATCAATGAGTCAATGAAGCGGCGAAGCAGTCACTCAATGAATCAGCCAATAGCCAACGAATCACTGATTCAGTGATTCAACGAATCAATGAATCAATGAACCGATGATTCAGTGAATCAATGAATCTATGGTTCAATGAAACAATGAAGCAATGAACCATTGCATGAATGGTTTAGTGGGCCGGTGAATGAATGAACCATAGCATCAAGCAATGAATGAAGTAGTGAGTAGATGACTCAATGAATCAACATTAATTCAGTGAAATCATGAAGCAATGAACCGACGAATCAATGAAACGATGACTCCGTGAATCAATGACTCAGTGAATCAACGAATCATGTCATAGAGGCCATGCACGTGTGAACTAGCGAGTCGATAAACCAATGGATCAATGACTGAGTTAATGAGTGTTGATGAATCAATGAGTCAGTGAATCGATGAACCAATGAAACACTGATTCAGCAGTGAATCAATGAACCAATGAATCAGTGAAACCAATGAATCAGTGAATCCATGAATCAATGAACCAATGAACCTATGAATGAAGGGATGAATGAAGGGATGGATGGATGAATGGATGGATGAATGGATGGATGAATGGATGGATGAATGGATGGATGAATGGATGGATGAATGGGTGGCTGGATGGGCGAGCTACTTTTCTTTGTTGAGCTACTTCTTCACTGAGCGACTTCTTCGGCACCTCTTCTCTCAGCTACTTCTTTGAGCAGCCTATCTGGGCTACTTCTGCTCTGAGCTGCCTCCCAGCTGGCTCTTTTTTGTATTTTTGTAACCCAGGTTTTTTTCTTCGCGCAGCTTTTGCAATGCGTTTAGAAGCCTCCAGCTGCAATCCCGCATGGCACAAGAATAGCACTATGGTCCAGAACTACTTTTCACGCAGCTGTTACAATGCGTCTAGCAACCTCCAGCTGCAAGCCCGCTTGCCAGGAGCGTCGCAACATCACTTACGCTTTGGTGCGCGCAGCCGTGCCATTGCGTTTTGTCACAGCCAGTCGCAAACCCGCATCGCTTCACACTTCAAATCGACCAACGTTCGCGCAGCGCTGACAAGTGGGGACTCGACCACACAAATCCGGCGCTGCTCCGATCCCCTCAGTCATCCTCAGTCTTTTTGCACATTTTGGAGTGCAAACCGAGCTCTCGCTAAGGCGCGTACATTTCTCCGACCTCATCTTCCAAAAATGCTCCCATCCCCACAGTTTATTTTAACATGTTGAAGTGCAAACCGAGCTCTCGCTACAGCCCTGTGCGCTTTTTGTCGATAACTTTCCCAGATCGCTTGCGAGGCCCGCACCTGCGGAAACAGAGACCCTACTTCAGCGACCCCAGGAGCCACGTTACCCGGAAAAACCAGGGAGCATGCATATGACGCGCATTTTGAATTTCAGAAAAGCAGCCACTTGCGCAGCCACTTGCGCAGCCACTTGCGCAGCCACTTGCGCAGCCACTTGCGCAGCCACTTGCGCAGCCACTTGCGCAGCCACTTGCGCAGCCACTTGCGCCCACTTGGCCACTTGCCCAGAGCAGCCACTTGAACAGCCACTTGAGCAGCCACGGGCAGCCACTTGAGCAGCCACTTGAACAGCCACTTGAGCAGCCACTTGAGCAGCCACTTGCAGCCACTTGCGTACATCAAGAGCGTGTTGGGGTTGAGCGCGTAGCATCAGGGGTGTGCTGGCATGTTACAGAAGAAATCCATGAATGTAGCATCAAGAGTGCTCTGTAATGGTCCAGGCGAAAGCCAAGAGGGTAGCATCAAGAGTAGGTTGGAGTTCTGAGTAGAATCAAGAGTGCTGAAATCAAGACAGTGCGCGCGGAAGTTTTCCAGGAGACCAGCTGGGAGCAAAGCATCAACAGCGTGCGGAATTTTCCAACAGAAAGACAAGAGGGTTCCGTGCAAAGCCTGCTGGCATGCTCCAGGAGAAGTTCAGAGCGTGGCAACAAGAGCTTGCTGGAATGTGCCAAGAGAAAGCCAAGAAGGTAGCATCAAGAGCATGCTGGAATGTTCCAGGAGTAGGCTAAGAGCGTAGCATCAAGTGAGAGTTGGAAGTTCCAGGGGAGGGCTATAAGAGCGTGGCATCAAGACTGCGTTGGAAGTTCTAAGAGAAAGTTTAGAGGGTAGCATCAAGAGCATGCTGGAATCTTCCAGGAGAGGGCTAAGAGCGTAGCATCAAGAGAGAGTTGGAAGTTCCAGGGGAGGGCTATAAGAGCGTGGCATCAAGAGAGCGTTGGAAGTTCCAAGAGAAAGTTTAGAGGGTAGCATCAAGAGCTTGCAGGACTGCTTCAGGAGAAAGAAAAAACGTAGCATCAGAAGTGTCTTGGAGTTAAGAGCGTAGCATCAAACGTGCTTTCAAAAATCCAAGGGCAAGTCAGGAGGCTAGCATCAAGAGCATGACTCTCTGTCAAGAGAAAGCTAGGGGCGTGAAGCAAGAGCATGTTGGAATCAAGAGCCTAGCGTCAAGAGCGAGTGGGAAAGCCCAAGAGGAAATGAAGAGCGTGGCATCAAGAGCATCGCGGAGCGTAGCATCAAGAGCTTGCTGGAATGTTCCAGGAGAAAGTTCAGAGCGTGGCAACAAGAGCTTGCTGGAATGTGCCAAGAGAAAGCCAAGAGGGTAGCATCAAGAGCTTGCGTTTTGGCAAGTCAAAGAGAAAGCTAAGAGAGTGGCAACAAGAGCGAGTTGGAATGTTTCAGGCGAAAGTTAGGGGCGTGGAATCAGGAGCATGTTGGAATTAAGAGCTTAGCATCAAGAGCATGTTGGAAAGTCCAAGAGGAAGCTAAGACCGTAGAATCAAGACCGTGGTGGAGCGTAGCGTCAAGAGCGTGTTGGGCTGTTTCAAGAGAAGGTTCAAATCAAAGCATGAAGAGAGTGCTGACGTACCACGAGAAAGTTCAGAGCGTAGCATGAAGGGCGTGTTGGAGTCAAGGGCGTGGCAACAAGAGCGTGCTGGACTGTTCCAAGAGGAAGCCAAGAGCGTAGCATCAAGAGCCTGCTGGAATGCAGTTTGCGTGGCATCAAGAGAGTGTGGGAATTTCCAAGAGAACGCTAAGAGCGTAACAAGACCAAGGTAAGTGGAATCAAGAGAATGTTGAAGTTCCAAGAGAGCGTTGAGAGCGATGAAGCGCGCGTTGGAGTTAAGAGCGTTGCAAAAAGAGCGTGCTGGTTCCAAGATAAAGCCAGGAGCGCAACATCAAGAGCCTGCTGGAATGCTCCAGGAAAACTCAATGCGTAGCATGAAGAGAGATGTTGGAATTTCCGACAGAAACCTTAGAGCGTAGCAGCAAGACCTTGCCATTCGCGCCAAGAGAAACGGAAGAGCGCATCATCAAGAGCGTCAGCGCGTGGGAGTTCAGAGTCCAGCATCAAGAGAGCCTTTAAATTTCAAGAGCGAATCAGGAGGCCAGCACCAAGAGCGTAGTATCAAGAGTGCGGCAGAATGTTCCAAGAAAAAGTTAGGAGCCTACCATCAAGAGAGAGTTGGAAAGCCCAAGGGAAAGTTAAGAGGGTAACATTCACAGCGCGTCGGAGTTAACAGTGTGGGGTCAGGAGCGCGCTGGAATGCTCCAAGAGAATGCTAGGCGGGTAGCATCAAGAAGGCTTTCGACATCCCATGAACAAGTCAAAGAAAGTTGAAAGCGCAGCATCAAGAGCTTGCCGAATGTTCAAGAGCATGTTGGAATCAAGAGCCTAGCAGTAAGAGCGTGTTGGAAAATTCAAGAGGAAGTTAAGAGCCCGTCGTGGAGTAGCATCAAGAGCTTGCCAGGCTGCTTCAGGAGAAGGAAAAGAGCGTAGCATCAGAAGTGTGTTGGGGTTAAGAGCGTAGCATCAAACGTGCTTTCAAAATTCCTCCAAGGGCAAGTCATGAGGCCAGCATCAAAAGCATGATTTTTCAACGGAAGGTTGAGAGCGAGCATCAAGAGAGCGTTGGAGCTAAGAGCTTATCATTAAGAGCGTTTTGGCAGGCCAAAAAGAAAGCTAAGAGAGTAGCATCAAGAGCATGTTGGAATGTTCCAGGGGAAGGCTCAGACACCAGAGAGTGTTATAAGTTCTAAGAAAAAGTTAAGCGCGTAGCATGAAGAGCTTGGCGGACTGCTGCAGGCAAAGAAAAGGGCGTAGCATCAAAAGCACTTTCAAAGTTCCAAGGGCAAGCCAGGAGACTAGCATCAAGAGAATGAATGGTTCAAAAATGTTCAAAAGAAGATTAAGAGTTAAGAGCGTAGCATCAAGAGCATGTTCGAGTTAAGGGCTTAGCATTAAGAGCTTTCTGGAAAGCCCAAGAGACAGTTAAGAGAGTAACACCAAGAGCGTGTTGGAAGTTCCAAGGGAAAACTAAATGCGTAGCACGAACAGCATGCTGGTATGTACCAAGAACCAGCTAAGAACATAGAATCAAGAGAGCGTTGAACTTCCAAGGAAAAAGAAAGCCAAGAGGCAAGCATCAATAGCATGCTGGAATCTTCCAGGAGAAGGTTAAGAGCGTCCCAATAAGAAGGTTAAGAGGGTAGCATCAAGAGCTTGCCGGACAGCTTCAGGAGCCAGAAAAAGAGCGTAGCATCAGAAGTGTGTTGGAGCTAAGAGCGTTGCATCAAAAGCGCTTTCAAATTCCAAGGGCAAGCCAAGAGGCTAGCATCAAGAGCACAAATGTGTCAAGAGAAAGTTAGGGGCGTGAAGTCAAGAGCATGGAGGATGTTGGAATGAAGAGCCTAGCATTAAGAGCGTAACTTGAAGGAGCCTGCTGGAAGTTCCACAAGAAAGCCCAGAGAGCAGCATCAAGAACGTGTTGGAGTTAAGAGCGTAGCATCAAGAGCCTTCTGGAAGTCCCAAGCGAAAGCTAAGAGCAGCCACTTGGAGCCACTTGCAGCCACTTGCCCAGAGCAGCCACTTACAGCCACTTGCCCAGAGCAGCCACTTGAACAGCCACTTGAACAGCCACTTGAACAGTGCAGCCACTTGCAGCCACTTGGCTTCCACCGGAGGATAATCAAACTTTTCCGGCGCCTTCCACCGGAGAGTGTTGAAAATTCTCCGGTGAAAAATGTGCCCCGGCTGGAATTGACAATTTTGCTGCTGGCTACAAGTGGCTGCTCAAGTGGCTGCAAGTGGCTGCTTTTTCGAAAATAAAAAAACGCCTCCTGCGTGCAGAATGGAAAAAACACTAGGTTTCGCGCCCGAGGGCGCTTTCAGCCCTGAATTCACACGCTTCCGAGCTGTCACACTTCCCAACTACTTGATGATGGGTGGTTGACATGATGATGTGGTTGACATGATGATGTGGTTGACATGATGGTGGAAAATCCCGACCATGACAGACAATTGTCCACTCGGAAATTTTCTAACTAAGCTTCCTTTGGCCATATACATATCACATACATCATATTCATATCTAAGTCATATGTCATACATATATCCCGTATATACATATATGGGGGGTTCCATAAATGGGGGTACCCCCAAATGGACGGTTTATGATAGAACATACCATTAAAATGGATGATTTGGGGGTATCCCTATTTCAGGAAACCTCCATATACAAAGATAGATACAACACCTTAGGGAGTCTACACCAAGCTCCAGCCACGCCTTCTCCGCTGGCAGCACCCCCGCCACGAAGCAGAGATCCGGGTGACGGCCGCCGCCTCGATCTCTGCCTCAAAGCGAAAATGCGAAAGGGGAAGGCCATAATATATATATATGTGTGTGTGTGTGTGCCTGCATGTACATATTATGTGTATATATATATATATTTATTTATTTATTTATTTTATTTATTTATATTTATTTATTTATACATGTGTATTTATACACATGTATATATTGGCAAACCCCTCACTTGCGCACACAACTCTCCCCTCACTTGCGCACATCCCCTCACTTGCGCACACGCACACATACTTTCCCCTCACTTGCGCACACATACTTCGCCCTCTCCCCAACAAAGCAATGGGCTACATGCTAAGTCATTATTAAAATCTTCTTCGCTTCTGCCCTACAAAGCAATGGGCAACATGCTAAATCATTATTCAAATCTTCCCCTCTGCCCTACAAAGCAATGGGCTACATGCTAAGTCATGATTTGAATCTTCCCCCCCCTCTGCCGTACAAAGCAGTGGGCCACATGCTAGGTCATTATTTGAATGTTCCCCTCCTCTGCCCTACAAAGCACTGATCAGCATGCTAAGACATTGTTTAAACCTCCGCCCCTCTGCCCTACAATTTAAATCTTCCCCCCCTCTGCCCTACAAAGCAATGGGCAAGCAGCAGTCAATGCCTAGACATGTTGGATTGCAATTGCAGAAATGCTACAGGCTACAGTGTTAGATCTTCTGTTTCATGTGCATACACACTTGATGCTACTCTGTAAGATCTTCTCTTCACGACACTCTGAAAGGTTAACGGGTGGAAGTTCAGAAGTCCAAGCAGTCATCAATGCTTAAACATGTTGGAGAACAATCGCAGCAAGCCGTCATGCTACATACGGTGTTAGATCTTCTGGTTTATGTTCGACATACTTGCTGCTACACGGTAAGATCGTCGCTTCCCCTACTATCACACTTTTATGACAACGTACCATGCCTGCAGCAAAACTTCAGGTGCACAAGCGAGGAGAAAGTCACGTGTACAAGCGGGGAAACTCATGTGTACAAGCGAGTGGTCCTCCTATATATTATACACACATATGTTACAGTATATGTGTATACTTTGGCGGAGCCTGCTCTGCAGGAATGCGCCTTCTGCTGCACTAGCGATGCAACATTTGCCAGGGAGCGCCCCCCGCGCTCTCTAGATACTTTGTGCCACAAAAAAAAAAAACACCTCTTTGAGGATGCTGGTGTCAGCGGAAAACGCATAGCTAGCAGCGGAGCCAAGTGTGAGGCCATGTTCTGGCACCCACACCCAACAACTGGAGAATACCAAGGGCGGAAGATAGCGCCTGCTAGTTCTGTTAATCTAGCCTCCAGTGTCCAAACATAAATGATTGGAAAGGGAATCCAGTGACCTTGGTAGCAACCGGCCCAAATCTATGCTCTATCCAAGCCTTTGGATTACCAACACGCACACACACACACACACTCTCTATGTTTTCCTCTAAATGCCTCTAAACCAGGCCCAGGATTTCTCCGTGCAAACTGCGACACATTGTATAAATGTCATAAAACATCATAAAACACAACTGTCAGATAGTGTAATAACGTCCAGTCTACACTCCCAGCGCCTGTGTAGGTGGTGGAGGCAAGGCCGGGACCTTGTGATGCAGGGGAACAGGATCATTGTTCCAACAAACCCATTGGTGGGAGACAACAGGGATTTGATTCGTTACAAATAAAAGTCCGTCTATTTGAGGGTGTGCCTATTTGAGGGTCATGTTCTCAATCGCAAACCTCTGGAAATGGGAGTTTTGATAGTTGCCAACCCCGCATTTCCTGCCTCTGCAGAAAGGTCTGCCACGTCCACAGCTTCCAAGAGCTCTGTACAGAAAGTGCCATAGGCCTCGCATGGCAAGTGGGGTATGTGGGGGGCAAAACAATTCTTCCACATGCTCCTGACTGGGTAGTGCAACAAATTGGCTTCGATGGTCAAACTGGTCGCTTGATGAAGGACTCGCACTTCCTAGCTGCCTCCGCCACTGATCCGGCACCAGGGCCAGAGGGAAGCGCGGGCCTCAAAATGGAAGAAGCGAATTAAATGGACTCCATGCAAATACGAGAACCTGATAGAGAAATATACTAAAATAGACACTTATCTTATCTTATCTTTATATATTATAATTATACGACACATATAAGATAATGATAGATAATGTATATCAAAATCGACATTAGCTTTCTGTATCACCATGTATCACCTGCCGTCAAGCTTCATTGCACTTGCGGGCATGGCGTTTGGCGGTCGCCCAGGCCTAGGCCGAGGGTCGATCCCATGGCTGGGAAAATATGGAGAGTACCAACAGAGATAAGCAGAGGATGGTAGAAGCCCACATCATGACATACTATTTCTATGCTGCAATACGCACATTTCATAATATGTCAGTGGCATCTGTGCTCTGCACTGATGCGTGGCGTTTAAAGTGGCTCAAAGGTTTCTCAAGAAAGAGTCTGAAGCAGCTGTGCCACCATTTGCTGCATCGCACATGTCGCTTGGATTCCAAGTGCCCATACAGGGGCGGTAGCCGAGGATGAGCCTGGCAGTCACGACTTCTTTCGCTAGTAGTATGCATGTAAGTTCTGCAAGTATTGCTTTCTAGTCTGCAGGGTCTACCAAATTGTGGAGCTGGAAATCATCACTTGATCAAGATGATGCTAAGTAGAAAATGCATCGAAGGAAAGGTCGATTGATCTGTGGACTGGATTGAACCACTCTCACATGTTACTGTAGATAGAAAAACATCTTATGACTAGTGGGAGGTCATCAAAAGGGATCGGGATCTCATTCGTCAGCAGTACTCTTTATGTTCCACTTGCGCAAAAGCATGGTATAGCATGGTCTTTGGTCCACTCTTGGTTCCGTTTTAGAGTTTACACCACAAGAATACAAAGATGACACAACAAAAATGCCATGCTCATCAGAAAAATCCTCTTCCAGGCCCACATGTCAATTTTTGTCTGAAGGGAGTACATCATATTTTCCCCCGTTTTATTTCCTTCCGAATCAGAGGCCTTGAAAGAGTCACTCTGTGCAGGGATCTCCTGGAGGACGTCATTTTCCACTGAAACTAAAATGCGTCAATCCTTGCATTAATTAAACCATGAAAACCTATGTGAAAACCTGTTTGCAAATGGTTGTAGGCTATTAGTAGCTCATCTGCCTGAATCGCACTGAAGTTGCGCAACGGACTCATCAACAAAACCTGAAAGGGTGGTCCATACCCAACGTCAACATCAAAAGCCTCCCCACCATTGAGCTGAAGGACTCCTTACTCTGTGTCCATCTAGAACTCGCCAATCAAGTATCATCCTAAAATATAGCATTATCTACATAATAAGTAATGATCGATTTACTACACATGTGGGATGTATACCATATATATATAGATAGACACAATTATACACGCATACTAGTATATAGAGTATATAGATAGTGTGTCTATATCTGTGAAAACGATGTGTGGGCAGCCACTGACCTCAATGCAGCAATTCCCTGGTCCTCAGGTGGAGCAAGCGTTCGCAAGATGTGCGCGCGCAGGTCCAGTTTCACCTGCAAGGCGATATCACCGGGAAGATTTGGGGGTACAGTATGTACTGTGTATATATATATATATATACATGTGTGTGTGTGTGGTATGCACATATTTTCATTCATGTGGTATATGTATAATATATATATATATGAAGTATGTACATATATGTTTATATATGATATACACTATATTATAATATAGTTTAATAAAAAAAATAATATTGTATAGTATAGTATAACAGAATGTAATGTAATATAACATACTATAATATAATATAAAGCAGTATAATGTAAAACAAAATGTAATATAATATAAAATAAAGCAATACAATGATACAATGTAAAACAAAATGATGAAAATATCTGATATAATATAATATAATATAACATAACATAACATAATATAATATAATAATGTAATGTAATGTAATATAATATATTCCAATACAATATGATACAGTATACAGTATAATATAATAACCATTAGTAACCATTAATAACCAACCACTATGGGGATACAATGGAAACATATAACTTACATAGCCAATGAGTACCTATAATATCCTATAATTATAATTTGCCAGCAAGAAAACACCACTTGATTGTTTATTTGAGCGAAGAACAGCTGTTTCGCTGCCATCACCTGTTCCTTTTCGCACCTGCGCCAAATGTTCAGCCTCATCTAAGCGCGGCAGCTGCTTCATGCCCTGGTGAAAGGGGCAGATCTGGTGCTTGAGCTATCCAAAAAAAATTAAGTCACTTGGGGATCATGAGAGATCGAAAAGAAACATAGTTGAAACAACCAACAGTAACCAGTAGGTGTTGTATTCCCATAGTTTCAGGCTATAAAGAAACATGGTACCACCTGCGGGATCCAAACAGAGTCAGCATGAAGCACACGCGAAAGAAGCACTGCGCACTGCTTTGGGAATCAAAACTAACAGCCAGGCGATGAAGTTTTAAGCAAACATCTCCTTTCAGATCCACAGGTACGCTCAAACAGACCGTGTGTTTGAACGACGCAGCCTGATCGTAGAAGGCAGCTGGCTGCTGCATTAAGCAAGGCATGCCTGACAACAGGATCATTTTCCCAGACCCATCAGCGGTTCGCAAATTTTGGCATCATTTGATATCATTTGGCTATATGATACTATACTATACTATGTCTATGTATATATATATATATATCGCAGCATTTTTAATCACTGTCCAACTAATTCCTGGGGCGTGAGCCGTGCCTCGCTCCATGGCCGGAGTCAGATCTGCCGTCTGTGGGATGAAGCCCCGCATGGCCAGGTCCAGAAGTCCCGTCTGCGGATCCACCGGTGCCGGTGCCAGCAACCAAGACAGCTGAATGCTGAGCTAGAGCATATCTTGAGATATCCTGAGCATCTATAAGAGTTTAGGATATGTCAGGATATGTCAGGATATGTCAGGATAACGGCTCAATTCTAATCAATTCTAATACATAAGGCTCACCATGGCGAGAACACAGGTACAATCACATGAAAATGTGAGCCCAATTCTCAATCAGCATCGTGTGAATCGTGCATCCGCACTAACACCGCACCTCTAGGTCAGACTCAGTCAACGCAGGTGGATCCGCTAAGGGATCCAAGCGATTCATCTGCCAGCGCGGTGAAATCGCAAGACTGGGGAATGAAAAATGATGCATTGGTCGTGACACAGAAATCACCATTTTGAGGGCCTGAATTCCCTGAATTACCTGAATTCGATTTGTGGGTGCCATTATTTTGGCTCATAGCGCGAAGGCAGGGAACTATGTCATGATTGTCATGACGATGCGTACCGTGATTGAATAGATAAACATGTGACTTCCAACAAACACTTTGAAGGCGAATGTGAAGCCGCGTGAAAGCACGTAAGTCTAAAGAATAGCGAACATCATGAATCTAATTACTTGTAGTGTAGTACTGCCATAATGTTATAATGACCACATGCACATGGAATACCAACAGCTGCGGCCATCAAAGGGGTCCACAAAATCTACTGCTCTCGGTGTAACAACCAAAGGTACAGCATGATGCACCATAATGATGTTTCTTTTCAACGTTTGAGTACATTTGATGAATATTTGACAGATGTATGTTTCTGGAACAAGTCTGTTGCTCCTCAGTGCGTGAAATGTCGCGTTTCGACAGCCCTTTCATCGGCCTTGGGTAACAACCGCTTGCGATTCGTCCTGGGCGGCTGCGTGGCCGATGCCATTTGGGGAACGCGGCCAAACAAAACAATCAAGACACCATGGACACCATGGTTCTATGGAGAGTTTCATCGCGGTGGTTCAGTGATGTCCTGGCGCTATTGGTTCCCACAACAATCCAGTTCCAGGTTAGCTGGAACGATTAAGGATTTTTTTCTGAAGGATAATGGTGGGGCAGCATCATATCAATTTACTCAATGTCAAATTACTGACATTATCCTAAGCAACTTGGAAAGGCATCCTCCTCCTCCTTGTATTCTGAGTTTCCTGGATGCCTAAATCCACTGGGAAGTACTGGGTATTGTTAGCTTCAACCCTGCCCAAATTCTGAGAATTCCCACGTCTTGCCGGACCTTTGATGACCTCCTGTGGGTTGTCTCACCGGTCTCCTTTGGCCCTTGGCACAGCTGGCACAGTTTGGTTCATTCATCTCTTCGGTCCGATGGTGGAATTGGAAGAATGGCCTGCCACTTCGTTGTCAAACTGCTGGAAATCGTGTGTGTGTGTGTGTTTGTTTTTCATATATATATATATATATGTGTGTTTTATATAATATGTATATATATATATATTACTTGGTATATTTGGCCCAGTGCCCACCCTTACGTTTGGAAATATGTCGGAACGCTTGAGATAGCGTCTGATGATAACACATTTTTGCAAGTTGCAAGTCCCAGGCTACAAGGGTCAATGTCCAAGGCCAAGGCTGTGCTTGCTGCACGACCAGTTGCTGGTGGAGCCTGGGAGAACTCCATCACCAGCTTTGGCCAACACTGAAGCCAACATCGAAATGACCGTCATATGGACTTCCAGCAAACTACACCCATTGATTCATCGAATCCTCTATGTCTGAGACTCAGTTTGTCCTGCCCTCGGCCACAGTGGAACCAGGATCGCAGCAATAGGTCTCACCGGTCGCGGTGGAGGTGGTCCGGACTGGGCGCAAACAGACAGGGTGTATCCAATTTCTTGCAACTCCGCGTTGTATGTCTCAAAAGAAATTGGCCGAAAAAAACCTAAATCCTAATGAAACCCGTGGCTGTTCCCTACTCACATGGGCCACGAACTCTTGTCAGGGTCGCTACTCCCAAAAGAGGTAGAGAGTGTCAGCCCCCAGTTAAATGCCTAACCCCACCACGCATCATCACATGCATAATCAACAAATAAAATCATCACAACCCCTCATCGCATACATTTCATCATGCATCACCATATAAAACCATAACAACCTCATCAACCCATCTCACCCATCTCATCCGTAAAAATTATATACATAATCGAAAGAAGTTTAGAAGTCAAACTTCCGACGATATGGACAGATGGAAAAAGAGTCAGAGAAAGAGTCAGAAGAGTCAGAAGAAAGAAGATGCAGGTGCGCGAAAAGGTAGGAAAGCCGCGAAACACTATGTTTTTCCAATGATTTGTAGCTCCGGAGGGTCGAAAAGTAGGCTCACTAAAGCGGCGGGTGCGGAGCCATGTGGTCAGATGAGAGATGAAAAGTTGCACGCGAAGCACATTTCCAAGTCAAAGGTACAAAACACACCATGGTCGGACCCCTTTTGGAAGTTGAGAGTTGAGATGTCGGAAAAGTGCACGCCGTTGTGGCGCGAAGCACATTTGGAAGTCAAATGTACAAAACACCTCAGTGTCGGAGCATGTTTGGAAGTTGAGATGTCGAAGAATGTGGAGGGGGGCAAATATGCGAACATAACAAAAGGAATACAAAAGGAGAGACAAATGCCCTGGGACTGTAGAGGCAGTGACATATGTAAATCAACTCATCCACCTTACAACACTGGATGTAGAACAAGAGGCAACAGAAAACTCAATGGATATTGTTGCCATTGTTTTGTAAATATTTTTCCTGATGACCCCAGAGCACTAACAGTAAGGAAGAAGTCAAAAGAACTTTAAGTAGCAACCCATATATTTTCAAAGTATGAAGTATGAAGGCTTCAAAAATGACAAATCTTTTGATGTAGATTTAGAGGGTGGCTGTTGTGCTACAAAAAGAAGAGTTGATATAAGGAAACTTATAGGCAATACAATGCTATGTATTGAAGTTGATGAAAACTGACATAAATACTAAATTAATCTAAATTAAAGAAAGGGATGACAATAGATATGATGATTTGTTTATGGACTTTTCAAGTAAATACATTATTATCATATATAATAATATATAACCCAGATAAAATCATAGATAAATATTGTAAATCTAAAAATCCAATGTTTAGTACAAGAATGGATGTATTAGAAAAGGCTATAGATAAACAAATAACTAAGCAGGATAAACAACTATGAGAATAAAGACCTTGTTGAAATACACCATATATTTTTTGATGAGAAAATATAGTAATTTTTCATAATAATTTATTAAATATTATTAGTGAAATACTGCTGTAGGAATACTAGCAAATATTTTGCCTATCATTTCTGGAAATACTAGACTAGTATTTCACCTCCAAAAACTTAGATTTCAAACAGCAAAATTGCAAATCACTGCAGAGGTCAGTATCCTATTTAAAATGAGTAGAATACAAGTAGAATACAATACAGGTCTGTATTTCAGGTGTTAATTGTTGGGAATACTTTACCTTAGAATTTAGGTTGAAATTATCCCCATAAATTATGCCCAAAAATCATGATTAAGATATTTGAGGGTTAAAAACCTTGGCTGAACCTAGGTGTTGAGGGTCAGGTGGAGTACGCTGTTGATGGCTATAATGTACTTGATGTAGAAGACCTGCCAGCGGGGTGGATGAAGGGACAACCCCAAAAAAAATGGTGCGGAGAAGAAGTAGCAACAAGGTTGTCAAACTAACTCACACTTCAACACCTCATACCTTCTCACACAAAAAAAGGGAAGCATCGGCAACTCAACGTTTTTTTCTCAACAAATGCGGATGCCCCCACGGGCAGGCAGTTATTACTCAGGGGCACAACCCGTAGCACTAATTACGGTATTCTTTTTTGCTGTAATGGCTTCTACAGATTTCCGTAAGGGATCTTACGGATTTCGTAGGGGGTCTTACGGATTTCGTAGGGGGTCTTACGGATTTTGGTATTTTGGTTATGTAGGAGGTTTTACCGTATTGTGTCTTACGGGATTTTTGTTGCCGTAATGGCTTCTACGGATTTCGTAGCTGGTCTTACGGGATTTTGGTGCCCCCATCCACTCCATCCCGTCGGGCGCGCCTTATGAATTTTGAAGGCGAGGAAGAAAAAGATGTTGAGGATTAGAATGATGAAGGTGAAGATGATTTAATATAGCACAGGCAGGAAGGGACATCCCATAATTATCCATAATTTATATAATAAAATCCGCCCGCACCGAAGGTGCTGGGGCGTGATCTTCCGGATGGCACTCGTAAAAGGTTACAGGTTTACCTGGGGGGGGGGGCATTTTTCGGCCAAAACCTCCTGTTTTTGATAGGTCGTGACGCTCGCCTTCAAAAAACACTGTAAAAAACAGTACGGAAGACACCTGTTCGTGAACGCGCCCGTCCAAAATCGGCAAGCGAAAAGTGAAAAAAAACCGTGTTTTTCAACTTTTTGACCTCAATTTTTTGGTTTGCAACATCTTTTTTTGCGGTTCCGCAGGTGGCCGGGCCCGGAGGCGGATTTTTGAGTTTTTGGACCCGTTTTCGGACTGATTTTCGTCGTTTTGTGATAGCAGAAACACTGGTTTTTACAGTGTTTTTCTGTTTTCTGCATGCTTGACGGCTAGCTTCAAAACTTCCAAAAACCTCGTAAATTACGCTGTTTTATGTTACGGTGTGAATGAAAACATCGTAAATACCAGTGTTTTTTGACGTTGGTTAAAAAAACACTGTAAATTACAGTGTTTTTGGCCACCTGACCCTCAAAAACCATGGTATTTGCAGTGGTTTCTGCTTCTCACCGCGCAAAAACACTGTAAATAACAGCAATTTCGCCGTTTTTTCATGTTTTTCGTTATTTTTTGAACTGCGTTGGTCCGCTATACATGGCTATCAAATTCTTCGCGTTTTTTTTTTCCGACAATCAGTACTTTCGGATGTTTTTGGTCTCAATGGCCGACATCATTGGCAGTTACGAGCGGCTGCCCAACGATGCGGTGCGGGCGGTTGCCGTCGCGAAGCGACGTGAATATTATATAATTTATGTTGTATTTTTTCTAGGAATGATGAAATGGATGAGGTAAGATGATGTATAAGCTTTGATGAAAATGAGTGTATTATATATACCGATGATATATTATATAATGATTTGGATAAGGTGGATGATATGAGTTGATATGATGAGGTTGTGGTGGTTTTATAGAAATGTATGTGATGATGCGTGGCTGGGCGCTGAGGCTAACTAGCTCAAAGTGGGCAGAGAGCACCAAAGGATATGATGGATGACCTTAATTCATTTCACCATGAGCCCTCCCTGGGGGAGGTAGGTCTTCCTGTTTGGTCCAGTTTGGTTCATCCTTCAACAGCCCTGGGCCCCGGTCTGAGGAGCGCTTGCGGGGCGGAATGTACTCGGTGCTCAACCTGGAGCGGGATCATGCGGATTGCAAGGGACAAAAGAGCACAGTTCCGCCTAACCAGTCCGTGATATGATTGGCTGGAAATAAGCAAACTGAGGGTCCCGGGCGACGCTGCAAGGGAATTGCTTTGATTGCCTCAATACATCGTACACTGAAAGCTGGGGTGAAGCCAACATTGCCCCCTGCTAGCCGCTAGCCAAATGTGGGCCAGGGTTGGAGTTGTATCTGCGTCTAACTAAAATTATGCCAGACCACCTTCTCTGGACAACTGCCCCTTTGTCAACTCTCATCACTCCAAAGCTGGATCACTTAGGTCTTGATAACAATCCCAAAGACCGCAAGAGCAGCGGCAATTTGATTCAAGTCCATCCCCATCTTGGTGGCTCACCCAAATGTGGCGCTCGTGGTGCCACGCGCGCAGCCGTCACCAAAGCGTGTGCCTGCCGTGTACCACCGGCAATGGGCTACAAATGGGGAGTGTAGCATGTTTATTTGTGGGGATTCTTGTGTTGGGGTGACAAGGGTCAATTCTGTGGTCAGGAGCATTCCGAGCTCATGCACTGTCATCTCAAGACAAAGCAGAAAACATCAGAAAAAGGTCAGTCCGTATCCTCTTCCTTTTCTCATTTCGCTTTAACGGTCGCTGCAGAAGTTAAGAGGTGCCAAAGGTCTGCCAGTCTTGAAATATGTTCATTTGATATCTAAACCGTCTAAACCATATATATATATATATCATGCATACATGCTGTGTATACATATTATATATGTATATATATATATGTGCACTACAGGAAAATAGGTGTGAATATGCAAAATACACTATGTACTTAAATGATCTTAAATGTACAAGCGGTTTGAATTTGTTTGAAGCTTAGTGATTGCATTTGTGCTGAAGCCTCTTTGCATTGAACCACCTTGTCAGAGTAGTCCAGCTTCTATTCCATACAGGCTCTGTGCCTGAATCAATCTGAAGCATATGGAATGATATTGAATATGATTGAGAAAGAGCTCCTGAACTCCTCAACCCATGTTTTTAACTTTTAAAGGAAACATTCAAACTAAATCATGAATCAGATAGGGACCCCTCAAACCCAGCACACTTTCTTCGTGTAAACAGTAAATTGGAAGTACTTGGGGCTCCTCTCAAAACTGCAGGCTTTTCCGGTGGTCGAGGTTGACCACAGACGTTAACCGCAAGCAAAGGAGGTTGCTATGCGCCTGCAACGCCGTGCACCCTGTTCATCTTCCCAGGGTCAAGGCAATTCATCTGTGGAAAGCCACAGAGATGCTCAACTTTGGCTCACCGCTAGAGCAGATTTGAGCGATTTCTACAAACAATACGTTGAATAAGCACATTCCGATTGTATTGTATTATATATATATATACATGCATTGTTAGACGATGTTTTTTACGGATTTCTGTGGCAATATAGGCAAGTGATTTTCTAATTTAGGGTGAAAAATGTGGTCAAAAAACGTGATATTGTCTCCGAACTAAACTATCTCTTGGTGCAATGAAATTCTGCATATGTCCCACCGGTTGTCTCACGTGTACGACAGTTGCAACAGCCGGGTCTCACTGATCACCCGATCCTTGGTGAAACAAGTGAATCCGGAACTCCCAGCTTAAGGATAAGGCTGGTAATGATATTAATAATATTAATAATTGTATATAATTGTAATATGGGAAAAAAAGAAATGTCATCTGGGGATAAGATCCCATAAGCTCCGATAAGGCCCATGGTGAGATGGTAACACAAAATCTGCTGGGGCGATCACATCAGAGGTAATGAAGAGAAAGACCTAGCGACGTCTGCTCCACGGGTCTCACACACATCTACTTCATTCTACTTCTATGTCGCATTTGCTCCAACATCAGGGGGATGTGACCCTTGCATAACTTTGTCCTTCAAGCACAAATGGCATGCTGGAAAATCACCCAGAACTCCGGATGACTTGCAAGTTGAATCTTGTTTTATAGCCATTGAAATGGTGATGTCCATTGATTTCCCAGGATGAATCCCGCCACCATACACCATCGACACCTCAGCACTGTAAGACAGTGTGGCCGGCACTGCATGAAACCTCAGAGACATTCAGAGACATGGGGGGTCTTGTTGAGGTCAGATCATCAGCGGGAGTTTGGGACACTGATCAGCTGAGGTTGAAAAAACCTCGATTTTTCATACACAGGCGATTAATCATTTAACCAACAGGACCAACGGTTGCCGCAGAGCTCTCCCCTCTAAAATATTCAAGGAGTCGGCTGCTGACCTAGATCTCTGAATCGTTCACCAAAAGGTGTGCCCAATATAGATGGAACATATGTCAAACTGTGTTGCTACTCTCGCCACAATAAAAATGTCCCAAAAACAGATATCATTGAGCCTTTTGGCACTGCGAGTTCGCCAGACAAGTCTTCAAAAATGAGATTCAAACATGTCCCTGGGTTCAAATAAGACTATATAAGACAATATATGGGGTATGCATCCAAGGGCAGTTGATTTTTCTTTTGATGGATACATCATCAATGTATGTATATACAGTGTATATATATAATATACACATAATCATATATATATAATTATACTCGTAGAAATCTATGGACAAGTGCCCCCCGCAAGCCACGGCAAGTCATGGCATCACCAAGGGACAACAATTCGATGGTCCGTGTGTCCAATGAGTTGATCACCAACTCTGGAGACCTCAATTCGATCGTTGAGGCCACGCATCCGCAGATGTCAAAATGTATAGCCACTGTGGATATGGCTATACAATTCATGTATGATCTGATATGTGATACATATGTATATATATATGCATACATATACATAATTTTATATATATATAATTATAGTATGTACCTCTGTGTGTGTATATGTATGTATGTATGTATGTATGTATGTATGTATGTATGTATGTATGTATGTATGTATGTATGTATGTATGTATGTATGTATGTATGTTGTCAATCCAGCATTCACATGTTCCCTTTCCTTTTCATCCAGACTGCCTGGTCAACTTGCTCAGTTCCGTGTGTGCATCTGCAATGCGGCCCAAAGCGGGTGGGACGTGGCGGGATCGCTTCGAGCCATAGGAAAATCAAGCGTGGCCGCTTGGAAATGGCGTGGCAGCCATAAGGGTTTCATTAAGGATTGGCGTGGTCGCCATTACAACAAGGTGAGGACACCAAGGAATTCACAGGTGGGACCGTTACCAATCAATTGAGATTGGTAGCGGAGCCCTGGCCGACATGGCAGGGCGAGCTACCATGCCTGATGGGGCAACGGAGGCTGCTTCAGGTGATGGACAAAAGGAAAGTGTGCAAACGCAGTTGGCGCAGCTTGTGCCATCATATGACCCTGGAGTGGACAGCGTGGAGACATGGAGTCAGAAAATTCAGCTGTTGTTGCAAGCATGGCCTGAGAATCGATTGGTCGAGCTAGCAACACGTATAGTGCTCAACACCAAGGGATCTGCATTCCAAAAGCTTCAACTTCATCAAGCCGAGATTTTCACTGGTGATCGCAAAGGGATTGAGATGATTGTGTCACTGGTAGGAGGGTCTTTTGGACAAGTGGAGTTAGAGAAACGTTTTGAGATTGCCGAGAAGGCCCTGTTTCGATGTGTGCAGAAGCCTGACGAAACTGCTGATTCGTTTTTGGCCCGAGCCGATGTGGCCTGGTCAGAACTTCTGTCAAAGAAAATGTCCTTAGCTGAGTTGCAGGCGTACATCACTCTGAGGGGAAGCCGATTGACTGGGGAGGACAAAAAAGCGAATTCTGGTAGAATCGGGAGCTGAGGACTCTGGTGAATTGAAGCTGTCCCGAGTAGCTGCAGCAGTTCGCATGTTAGGTTCCTCGTTCTTTCAAGAATATGCTTTTGGGAAAAAGGACAAGACGCTCAAGACCTATGATCATACCGCTTTTGTAGCTGAAGAACATGATGATCAACATGATGACTGGTCAAGGTATGAAGATGAATGGTATGAAGATGAAATTGATCCGAACTTGCATGATGATGAAGACTCAGCCTTGATAGTCCAGTTTGAGAACGCCGTAGTGGACAGTGTTCAGGAGGATCATGAATTGGCCGCCTTTTTTTCGTCATACCAAGAGGCCAGGAAACGACTGGTGGAGAAAACACGCTCCCGAGGTTTCTGGAGCAACAGCAAAGGCAAGGGTTCTTTTGGAAAGAAGGGATTTGGAAAACAGAAAGGCAAAGGGTTCCGATCTAAGTCACTGGCTCAGAGAATTGCAGAGAGTTCATGCCGGCGTTGCGGCGCCAAAGGCCATTGGAAGGCCGAATGTCCTTTGAATCAAACTTCCAGCAGTGATGGTAAGAATGTGGTGCCCACCTCAATTGTCATAGACCATGAAGCAGCCGCTGCAACCGTTGTCGAGCCCAATGTCGATGCCGATACGTTCAGTTTGCTGAATGATATGGAACCATGGCATGACCCAACAGAATCTCGGAACCTATTGGAATGGTGTTTTGGGGTTATTATGGGGAGGTCCAAGGGGTATAGCTTTCAGAACGCACTCAAGAAAAGACTAGGTGACATGTTCTCATATGTGCCCAGGAAGGGAACACCAACAACCAAGCCGTGTGAGATCCGACCAAACCTGGTCAAGCCAAGCTGCCCCACTGATGCATCCGCTGAATGCCATAGTTTGTTTTGCTCTGCTGGAACCACTGGAGTTGTCGATCTTGGTGCTTCACAGTCCGTCATTGGGAGTGATCAGCTCAAAGAACTGTTGGAACAACTGCAACCAAGCATTAGGAGTCAGCTTAAGCGTCAAGAGGTAGATCTGATTTTCAGGTTCGGCAACCATCAGACACTGCAGAGCAAGGTGGCAATTCATTTTCCATTACATGGACAATGGTTCCGTGTAGCAGTTGTGCATGGTAAGACACCGTTCCTCCTGTCAAGCAAGTTCCTGCAGACGATTCAAGCTGTGATTGATGCCAATGAATGCACCTTGTGGAGTAAACTTCTGAATAGATATATCCCTGTTTATCATGACGAAAAGAACCTTATGATGATGAACATTAATGATTTATGGGGGAAAGCACACGAGAACACGGTCTGTCAAGTCCAAGAACAGACTCCGCCGGCCAGTCGACCGACAAGCCAAGGTGATGATTTTTCCATGAAGGTTTCAAACCGCATGTACGCAATTGGAAAGAAGGTAAGTGAGAGCAGCCTCACTTTTGCAGATGTCATGCAACCGTGTCCAAGTTTTGCTGTGGAGGTCCCAGGTCATGAGGTTGTCAATCACAGTGTGAATAGTTCACAGTGGTCAAATCGTGATGTTGCCGGAAAAGACCATGACAGATTGAAGAATGCCACAGCTATCTGTCCGAGCTCAAAAGTGTCTCCCTGTGCAACTTCGTGTAAGACTGAAAGCCATGTCTTTGCACAAGCAGTTCCAGGCGTACATGGGCAAGAACAAGGACGAAGAGATCGAAAAGATTCCATTGGCCATTTTGGCCGAGACAAAGATCGACTTGGGCAAAGCCAAGATGAATCAGACATTTGCCCAAGCATTCCAGGACAAGGAGTGGACCAACTACATGCTGACAAGATTCGAGGACAGTCAGAAACCGACTCATCAAAAGTACTTCCAGTATGTCAAACTGATGATCCAAGAGGACAGCCAACCCTCGACGTCCACAGTCAAGACCAAAGTGAATACCAAGAAGAAGGAGGAAATGAAGACTACCAGGTTGGGGATGGTCAAACCTGTGGACGAGGAGGAGGAGGAGGATTCAGACTGGGAAAGAATGACTGGAGTGCCGACTCAGCAAATGACAGAGATTCAGATCAACCAGAACGAGATGGAAAGCCGCATGGGACGCATGGAAGAAGCTCTGGCACAGGTGATCTCTCACCTTCAGCAGCTGTCAACTCAAGGTCTTCTGATTCAGCCAAAAGCCGAGATGTAGGACAGATCGAGCAAACATCAGAGCCACTGATGTCAACTGTGCTGAATGACCAAGGTTGTACAGAATTTCCAGTGGAAATGTTGGATTTTGAGTTTGCAACAGTAACCAATGAAGTACCGACTTTTCAGAAAGAATGTCAAAGGTGGATTCACTGCATTCGCAAAGAACTTTCAAGCGTACAACAAATTATCCGACCTACTGGAAAACGAATGAAGTTGTATGAGATCATGTGTGGCCCCGAGAGTGAACTTACCAAGCAATGCCACAACCTTGGTGGTCAAGCCAGAAGATTCGGTCTGTTTTCAGGTGACTTAGGAACAACAGCCGGCCGCCGAAAGTTGTTTTCATATTTGTGTGCTGAGCAACCAGAACATGTCTGGTATTCACCCGAATGTGGTCCATGGTGCAGGTGGTCAGCTTTGAACATGTCCCGGTCACTTGAATCACTACAGAAGGTGTTGGATGATCGGCGTCAACGCTTGTGGCAGGTTGCACTAGGAGTGGTTTTGTGTGAACATCAAGTCTCCCTGGAGAAACACTTTCACTTAGAACAACCGGAGGGATCATCCATGCTAAAGTTGCCAAGTGTTGGACCATTGCTCAATGTAGCTCATCCATGCGTGTTTGATTTGTGCAAGGTAGGAAAGTTGAAAGAACCAGTGACAGGAATGCCAATTCGGAAACGACTTCAAGTTTGCACGACATCCATGGAGTTGAAACAGAAATTTGATGGTCAAAGATGCCTCGGGATTCACGAACACTATCAAATTGCAGGGACCACACAGGTTCAAGACCAAAGCATGGCAGTATCGAAGTTCACCGAGCAATACCCCAGAAAATTTGCAAGGCAGGTTTGTCAAGTGTTGCTCAAACGTAACCATAGTCATCCCAGCGAAATCCTCGCAAATGACGAATGTGAATTTGGTCCTGAAGATCATCCAACTAAGCGTCGTCGTCTGGGACAGAAGAGCTCACCGATGCAGATCACTCTCCGACATCCAAATGTGCAATGGTTGGATGTCATGAAAGCTGTAGATGCTGCAGCACCAAGGGTTGGAGTTGTAGTGTGGGAACAAGGGGATATTCTAGAAGCTGTCCGTACGTTGTGTCCCAATCATGTGGTCCGACATGTGGTAGTTTGTCGTGGAACTGACCGAATGTTAGGTCCCAACACTCGCATGATTCCTGGAGAAGCTCCTTGGCGTAAAATGATTTGCATACGTAGACGTTTTGAAGATGTTGTGGTTGAACCTGAGTGGGAAAATTGGGAACGCTTGTCCTATAGACAACTCCGAAGGCAAAGTACTCCTGCACGATGTAATTTGACAGTCTTTGCCAGACCCAAATATAACTCCTGGCAGGAGAACAGTGAAGGTGCTGTCAATGTGCAACCAAATGCATCCAGCGAGCCAAAGGCCATACCAACCAAAAGAGCTGGTGATGGTAGTTCTAGTTTGTCCGAAGCCATGCACCAACTCAAACGGAGTCGGTCGTCACCGTCAGCCACTGAGATTGTTCCTTCCGAAGTTGCTCCAGGGGGGTCATGTGCCAAAGATGAGAAACCAATGGATCGAGTGGTGGTTGATTTAACATGTCAGAAACATGGACCAAAGTTTTTAGAACTGGAAAAGGACGAACAGCAATGGCTCCTGAAGTTGCATCGAAACATGGGCCATCCGGGCCAACAAAAGTTGGAGTATATGTGTAGACAACTCGGATGTGAAGATCGCATACTCAAGGCTATTCCTGAAATTCGTTGTTCAACCTGTCAAGAGTCTCAGCCGCCAACAATTCCGAGGCCAAGTGCAATCAAAGAACCGCTGGATTTTGGGGATATAGTAGCTATGGATGGGATAACATGGACTAATTCTCAGGGGTCACAGTTCCATTTTTATCACATGGTAGATCATGGCACAGCCTTCCAAAGTGCATATTGTGCACCCGCCCGCACTGCCGCGGATGCCCTACGAGCTCTCAGTTTAGGCTGGATGTTGTGGGCTGGACCACCTGGTCAATTAATTTTGGATGCTGCCGGAGAATTCTGTGATGAGACTGTTCATGAGTTTGCCCAAAAGCATGGAATTAAACTCAGGATTATTCCACCAGAAGCCCATTGGCAAAACAGCCGCTGTGAACGACATGGAGGAATTTTGCAATCCATCTTGACCAAGATGGATCATGAGGAATCCATAACAAGTTATGACCAACTGGAACAAGCATTAGTGTATGCAACGCAAACAAAGAATCAATGGTCCCGACACAGAGGTTATCCACCTGAAGTTTTGGTTTTTGGAAAATTACAGCGACAGCCAGGATCAGTAGTGAGTGATGAAACTGGTTCAGCACACGAATTGGCAAGAACTGACAGTCCTGAAGGAATTCGGTTTCGTGCAGAACTCTCTCGACGAGAACAAGCTCGCCAAGCGTTTGTCAAGGTAGATAACGACCAAGCATGTCGAAGAGCACTACTGCAGAGAACAAGACCAAATAGGGGTAGGTATCAACCTGGGGACTGGATAATGCTATGGAGAGAAAATAAGAAATGGATGGGACCAATGAGGGTGATTCAACAAGAAGGTGATTCATGTGTGTGGGCAGTTTTTGGAAACAGATTGTATCGTGGAGCACCTGAACAAGTTAGACCGTTGTCCGCTGTAGAAGAAGTGTCCCTTGACAAATCAGGTGCGGTTTCAAAAGAAGAACAGCCAAAGATTGGACCTGTCATGATAGAGAACAGTGCCGAAATGCCTGCGCAGACTCCAAGAGCAGCACCAACAACAGGATCACCACAGGTTTCAATACGTGATTCAACTGAACCAGAACCGTCCATTGGAAGTCCTTCCATTGTTCCAACCGAAGAAATTGAAGAACAACTACAACATGAGGATGATCATATAGAAATTCCTGTGCCGGATGATGATGATGCTGACTTATTCTGTGAAGCGCTTCAGGTATCCAGTGATCAGTGCTGGTCCATGGAAATTGAACTGGATGTGAATGATGTGACAAGGATGTATGGCGCAGAACATGAAGAACAAGTGGCATGTCTAGTGTCCGCTGCCAAGAAACAACGCAGTGAGGTGAAACTGAAAGACTTGAATACTGAAGATCGAAAACTGTTTGACATGGCAAAAGACAAGGAGCTGCAGTCATGGTTGGACACTGGAACAATTCAAAAGATTTGCAGACAACAAATTCCGAAGGAGAATGTCCTCCGATGCCGCTGGCTTTTAACGTGGAAGGATATGGGAGACACTGAGAAGACAACCAAAACACCAAAAGCAAGACTGATTGTTTTGGGATATGAAGATCCCCAATTATGTGAACTTGACAGAGATAGCCCAACACTATCCAAACTTGCTCGGATGCTTATCCTTCAGTTTGCTGCCAGCTCTGGCTGGGACATTGGTAGTTTTGACATCCGCACCGCCTTTCTCAGAGGGAGTGATGATTCTCGACAGCTTGGATTAGAACCACCAATTGAACTCCGCAACAAGATGAACCTAGCTGATGATGAGATTGTACAACTCCTCAAAGGAGCATATGGGCGAGTGGATGCACCACTGCTATGGTTTCGTGAGTTTCAAAAGGGCCTCCTGGAACTTAACTTTACACAATCACCGTTTGATCCATGCCTTTTTACTCTGCAGGACAAGAAAGGTCAAACATGTGGCTTAATAGGAATTCATGTTGATGATGGACTTTGCTGTGGAACCCCAGAATTTCATGCCAAGTTGAAACAGTTGGAAGCAAAATACCCTTTTGGTAGCCGCAAAGATCGAGATTTCACATTCACTGGTTTACACATTCAACAACATCAAGACTATTCAATCACGGTGGATCAAACCAAATATGTCAAAGCCATTGAACCTATTCACATTAACAGTCAACGTCGTCATGATCCTCAACAACCGGTGACAGAAGATGAACGTCAACAACTGCGCGGCTTAATTGGGAGTTTACAGTATGCCTCAACAAACAGTCGTCCGGATTTGGGTAGCCGACTCTCGTTTCTTCAGAGTCAGATCAATAGTGCAGTGGTTCAGACCTTGATGGATGGAAATCGAACTCTTCAGGAGGCCAAAAGATATGCTGACACGGCACTGCGTATCCAACCCATACCGTTGCAAGACATCAGATTTGTGTCATTTTCAGATGCTGCATTCGCCTCAAGTAAGAATCACTCCTCACATCAAGGAATGCTGTTGATGACCGCACATAAGTGTATTGGCGCAAATCAGAGTAGTCCAGTCAATCCGATTTTGTGGTCCTCTCGCAAAATCCAAAAGGTAGCAGTGAGTACCTTGTCAGCGGAGGCCATGGCAATGGCAGGTGCAGTTGATACATTAGCCTGGGCTCGACTCTTTTGGGCATGGCTGTTAGATCATGCATGTCAATGGCAACTAGGTGATCCAGCCTTGTTGAAACTACCACCAGCTTTCACTGCAATCAAAGATGAAGACAATGATGAAGAACCAAATGCTTCACTGATGCATACTCATGAGATAAGTAAAAATGTTAGTCTGGCCGATAGTATCATTAGCACGGATTGTAAAAGCTTGTATGATATAATAAGTAGAACTGCACAGCCTGCATGCTCAGAGTTTCGAACATTGCTGCAAGCCAAATTGATTCGTGAACACCTAGCCACTGGTGTAATGGTCCGATGGGTTCCAACTGGTGCTCAGATGGCAGACGCATTAACTAAGATCATGGATAGCACAGTGTTGCGAGAATGTCTTCGTCTCGGCCACTACAGGTTGCAGGATGAAACTCAAGTGCTGAAAACTCGAGCCGATGCCAAAACTCGCATTCGCTGGCTTCGTGGAACGGAGTCTAATTCAATCAGTTCTGAGAAAAGCCAAGTCGTCTCAGAGACCAGTGCATATCCCTATGTCAGCTCGAAATAATTTTGTGATTGTACACTTGATCAGCATGAGATTGACCTTACTTGCTTGCCGATGGTTCTTTATTTTGAAAGTGGAGACCAAGGTTTTTGACGCTGGTTTTTGGCAAAGTCTGGAATGCAAGAACACTTGTATGGACATCGAGATGTCATTCTTGCGGGTATGCAGATTGGGAAACAAGTGCACCACAATTTTGCATGAAGGAAGTGAATGGTAAATTTCACTGGAACATGCCGAATGCGGAAATTCTTTCGAATTAAAAGACTGGGAATGTCAATCCAGCATTCACATGTTCCCTTTCCTTTTCATCCAGACTGCCTGGTCAACTTGCTCAGTTCCGTGTGTGCATCTGCAATGCGGCCCAAAGCGGGTGGGACGTGGCGGGATCGCTTCGAGCCATAGGAAAATCAAGCGTGGCCGCTTGGAATTGGCGTGGCAGCCATAAGGGTTTCATTAAGGATTGGCGTGGTCGCCATTACAACAAGGTGAGGACACCAAGGAATTCACGGTGGGACCGTTACCAATCATGTATGTATGTATGTATGTATGTATGTATGTATGTATGTATGTATGTATGTATGTATGTATGTATGTATGTATGTATGTATGTATGTATGTATGTATGTATGTATGTATGTATGTATGTATGTATGTATGTATGTATGTATGTATTAATGTAATGTAGTGTAATGTAGTGTGATGTGATGTAATGTAATGTAATGTATGTATATATGTATTTATGTATGTGTATCATGTGCTATCATACATGTTCATATATAATCATGTATTATTATGATGTTGTCAACAAATGCTTTCATATTGGGCCAATACCTTCCAGGATGCCAGACTGCACCGACACCAATGCGGGCTCGGAGCACCTGACCGTGTACCTGGAGCTGTATGGGTTGGCATCATGCCACAAAATCTATACCTGATTAATAGTGATTAATAGACCAAATTCACTTGTGCTTCCAAAAATGATGCGCCCAGCCGACCAAATCCAAGGCAATGATTACGCGACGTTAGGTCCTGGTAGCTGTTGTCAAAATTTCACTGCACCCGACTCAACACCTTCCCCACCCAGGTCACTTCAGAGGTCTCACTGCCTAATGATTTCACGAGAATGTCCAAATGTTGATGGATACCAATAGATATCAGTGGATACTAATGGATACTGATGAATGCTAAACAACAATCGCGCCAAACGTCCAATACTCTTTGTGACAAGGCAGTGGGCATCCGACGTGTCATATTCTAGTTGCTTCCAAACCACTGAGCTTGCAAAGCAAAATGTCGAATTCTAGCCTATTCTAGCCGCAAGTGACAGCTGGGGCTTTGGTGATTGTTCCAGCGCTTACAGTGATTCTGAAGAAGCAAAGGTGATGACCACGAAAGAAATGTTAGAATTGTTCACTTGATTTATTTGTTTGCACCTAATGCCTTCCTTCCAATCAACCCAAATGCAAACCATTGCAAACCAATCGAATTTGCTTGCCTCACAGCGGGCCCATGATTTTCCGTCCCCACAACATGAAAAGTGTTAGTTGAGGGGGTGGAGAAATATATCCAAATATTCCAAATGCTTGGAAGAGGCTCCAAGTGATCCAGCCTCGTTTTTGTAGAGGAGTCGCTTTCGAACTGCCGTCAGCACCTTGTAACAAAGGCAACGGTGTCATGAAATCACTAGGGAATTTAGGGAAACACCGGGGGAAGATGTTGGAATCTATGCTCTCTCTCTCTCTGGCATGTTCATGAGAAATCAATGACTGCCTCCAAATAGACTTTCCTTTCTTCAACGTGTCCCTGGTCACGTGCTTTTGAAATCTGGGAAAATCTCTCAGGTCCGAGGTCCGAGCCGGTAAAGAGATGTTGTGGACCATCTGGCTATGATTCCAATGAGGAGTCTTGGGCTTCATTAATGATACTATTGGGTGAGTGAAATTGCAGATTTAACATGGTTTAACTATCACTTCTTGACTCTCAAAAAAACAGCCTGGTTGTCCGTCCTCTGTACATCCATGCTTATACTTGCTCGAAACGGCCTCATGCAAATCATGCAATAATTTGCCTAGTTTTACGACAGGAAACCCGCTGGACACTTGATACACTTGGTTCGGCTATGTTCGGCTGGTGCCCCACGCCTTGATCTCTGGTGGATCGGCTGCGATGACAATCAGCATGGCCTCGAGTGGCGGCTACCACCATCCGAGCTGTCCAAGACAGTACCCATTGAATAATGGTACTTGAATAATGTCGATGATGTAAGATGATGATGTAAGATGATGTAAGCATTGAATAATGGTCTTGCTTCAAGTGCACGTCGCAAGTCATGGCCGAAACACAGTGTCTTCCAGATCAATCCCTGTCAAAAACATTTTATAGTCTATAGTCACATTTACAGTCTCATAGTTCTTGTGATGATCAGTGTCCAACTGACATTTGACAAAAACGTAGAGAATGTCAAGGAAGCGTCACCGGTTCGACCATATCATAGCCAACTGGAACTAGACCGATAATTCAAGTCAAGTAAAACCCATAAATCATTCAAAATCGACAAAAAGAACTCCAACTGCCCACGTCGTCAGTCTGGGCTGTCCCACGGCCACTAGCCGGCGTACTGCAGGATCCACGGCATGTAATCGACAGCTCTTGGTGCCAACCTATCGCATGCTATGCTGCTATGCCATCTAAAATTCTGGAAGGTCCACGCGCCAATATGTAGTGAGAGTCCTGTCATTTCTTGAGATTGGCGTCTGATTCTTAAGGGTTGGACGCATGCCTAAGTCGCATGCGACTCTGCCCCATGTTGTTGAGCACTGTTTCATCTGTTTCCGAAGGTTCGGGTTCCCCATTGGTACCTTTCTTCCTGCCAGGTCGCCTTAGTGTGCCTTTCACTTTTCCACTGCTCCAGCCTGCATGGAAGTGATCAAGATGTTGAACTTGACACCGTAGCGAGGATCGACCTGGAAACCGTGGAAGATCGTGGAACATGGTGGAAGGTCGATCCACCCAACTGGCATCATTCTGCAATGATCCAGGAGTTCCAAACCACCTACAAACATGTTGTTTAAATGATCCGTGGGTTATAAGCTTTGTATAGGTAATGGTAGGTAATGAATGGTAATGTATCGTAATGCCTTATATAGTCATGTGTGGTCATGTATGGCAATGATTGGTATGGTAGTGTATCGCACCGTCTAGTCTTCTAGATTGAGAGCTTCAAATTGAACATGCGACAGGAACTCTTGGAAAATGTCGTGGCCATGCCCTTTTGCGACCCCTGTGCCTCTGCTGTTGGCTGCACTTGAACTGCCTGCGAGGTTCATGCAGACAAGTGGGGAGCGAGCTCTACCTAAACTGTCTGAAACCCTCTTCAGCCAACCGAACTAGTACGTAATTTCCCTGCATTGTTGAAATGTTCGGAGCAAATTGCAGTTTGCCTCTCTTCACACCTGAGATTTCCGATTAAAGAAGAAAACCCTCAGAAGTGCAAAACGGTTGCACATTCTGCACTTGACTCATGACTCAAATCACTCCAGCCTCAGGATTTGATGAGTGCAAGCGCACTGTGCCCGCATCAAGCACCTGCTTGCAAAATCTTGCAAATACGCCCTGGTTAGGCGCATGTGCAATCCGGTCATCTAATTCTCTTATTTCAACTTATTTCTCTTGCTCAAACACTCTCTAGATATCTCTAGATCTGATTTCTGGATCCGTCCGGGGACGGTCCTCTCCCCATGTGTTCCTAAACGGTTTCCGGTGCCTCTGCCGGGGCCAAACAAATTGATCGTTCAATGCCTTGCCCAACGACCTGAGAATGTTGCAAGTCGGGACGTACTCCTTGGGACGGAAAATCGACAGGATAATCAGGATACGCCACTTTTCCAGTACAAATCAAATTTAAATGGCTTTCTAAAAGAAAAATGGGGTATAATCACTGTGGTCCCCCTAAAAAAATAGCCTTTCCAATGGGGAAATTGATGATCAACCAGTGGAGTTGAGTGATTACCCTATTTTTAAACAAACCAAAACATCATGCAGCTGGCTGCACCAATATATTCCCTTCCCATCAATATCTCCATTTCCCATTTATCTCCCGATGAACTGGTTGGCTTTAAGATACCCTCCAAAACATAGCTATAGAAAATGGCCCGTTTAGATCGATTGCTTCTTACAATAGTGGTGCTTTTCCATAGTTATGACAAATTACTATGTTTATTTCCTTCATCCAACTATACGATCTATACATAGAATATGGGAAAGATGAGATTTATGAAGGACATATTACAGTCATTTATAGTCCCTTGATGTCCCTTGGATTCTAATGTTTTCTCTGGGAAGGTCTACGATGCGGATCTTCTCCGTACGCAGCCCCTGGACTTCAACCAGTTGCACGGCAACCTCAGGGCCAGGTGGAATAGCAAAACAGAAGGACTGACCAGTAATAGGCATGGCTATGTCTATATTATTCTATATAATATTATATATATATATACATATATATATATACATTATATATATATGTACGTATATTACATAAATATGAATATGTGTCAAAATGGACTGATATATCTTCTCTGGTGGGCATATTGCTTAGCATCCCCCATTGTCAATGGATATCCAAGAAATGGGATGGTAAATGGTCAAATGACCAAAGTCTGCAGAGCCCACAGTCTTGAAGCTTGCTGAGGCTGAGGACTTTTGGATTTTTGCCAATGGAATTGCTGGAAATGGAATTGACTGTTTGATGAATCTGATTAACTTTCACATACTCTCACAGTCCTTCCTGTTTCTCCCAGACAAACACTGGCATCTAGGCAGCTGCGACAGCCCTCGATTTCAGCTCAGGAACCAGATTGCTGAAGTGTGCATCCCCGTAGAAGACCACAAAGAATTGAAGCCTGGGCAATGCAGAAGGGCTGCACCTTGATGCTGGTTGTCGACATCACAAATCACATGGCAGAGTACATCAGAGGGCAAAAATGAGACCAACATGAACTCTTTGAAACTGGAGAATGAGGAAAGCAACAGAGATTCGTGTATTGCTTATATACGTTTAAACGACGATGCAATGCAATGATTGCATCTAGAAGACCAACCTGGCGTTCGGTTGCTAAGTACCAAAGGCACAATAGCCTGAAGATCCTGAAGGATGGAAGAGCCCGCAAGCAGAGGACCACACATCGCATGGTTGCAATGGCATTCTATCAAAATATATTAAAAGCCCTTAAGCCTTAAACCCATTTAAACCCATGATTATATTATAGTAACATGATGCTAGTAATATGGTTGAAATATAATTCAATATATCCCATATATCCCATATTCGTGTGCTACAGTAGTGATACAAGATTCTTAAGGTAACATCATAGTATATATAATCATTGTGGTTAATATCCCATATTTTCATTGTGGTTGATATAGGCCCACTCATTATTGGAATATTGTGGTAATATACCCCCAGTATATCCACACTCCTCTTGCTGGGAGTCCCATGCACTGCGGGTGACTGCGGGGCCATGAAGCGGAGGGACACCTCTTCCTGGCGCAAGGAAATCAAACCATGGAAAACGATCCATGTATCGTATGTATATATGATTATAAACATGTATTGTGACATGCGTACGGTACACACGTATTTGTATGTAACGATGTGTGCGTGTACATATATGTTTTACATTGTTTTACAGTATATGAATTGGTATATCACACATATCAGTAGGTGGGCTACATTGCAGATTGTGGTTGCCTGAAACTTGTCTCTGTGGTGATCTCATTTCTTTCTGCATCTGCCATCGGTTGAAACAAGCTTGGCAGAGGCATCTCTTACTCAGTACAATACTGTAGCTGTTGCTTGTAGATGTGGATGCCTCCGCCAAGATGTTGGAAGGAAACTCCATTCTTTGGGAGTTTCTTTGTATCATTACATTGGCGCAGCATCGGCCCTTGTCCTACAGCCGTTGGAATATATTGGAACTATGAAATGGTGGGCCGGCGCTGGGTTTCCAAGGCGAAGGTCTGAACCAACACCGGCCCAACCGGTTCCGGTTTGGCAATCAAATACTCCACCTGACAAGCCTTGGCCGATGGATTCTCCTGTGCCTGTGCCTTGACGTGACGTGGTAACAACGACACATGGGACACCAAGCCGTTGCCCCTGCCCGGAGGATCAATGGAGGCATCCAAGCGCCTGGCCACCCTGGGTGAAGCCGAGGCCGCCCGGCGGTACTGCGGCAGGATGGGAGATGGGCTCTCCAAACGACCAGGTGGCTCCACCCGCGGGGTGAAAGGCCGGTAGTGTGACGTCTTGGTAGGTGTGAAGGCCTCAGTGACACTCCCATACTTGGTGGAATATTGTGGGAGCCTCAACCACTGAGCAACATGGGCAATGACGGAGAGGTGCCACAAGGAATTAGGAATCCATCCCCTTTGAGAACAACGTCACATTTCAATAAAATATATTAAAATATTATCTTTATTTGTCTTTGCATGTCTCTGCTCCTAAATCGCATTATCGTCTTTGCCGCTATTCTTTTCAAGACCAAAACAAATCCTCAAACCAAAACCAATCGCAAATGGCCCTGCAATTTCAAGTAACAAACCTCTTATCTGTATGATGATAATTCTTGATATTTCTTCCATCGGCACCTAGGTTGCATCCCTTAGACCACTGGAATGATGCAAGTGTGGCACTCTGGATGGATCATGGTATCTCCGGTCTGACTCGCCACTCCAACGCCCATCGTCGGTCACCACCTCCAAGAAGGAGCTCCGAGCGCCCGGCAAAGTCGGCATGGAGGAGTCTCGCGTCAGGGTGGCGCCGCTGGTCACTGTGGTGCCAAGGGTGCGATGGGGTGCCAAGGGTTCCGATTCAACGGTGCTCTGAGTGCATTGACTTTGGCTCAGCAGAGATTCCAAGCGCCTGAACTGTGCCTCCCGGACCCGAGCCTCTGCAGCCAGGCGCTCAGAGAGGCTGGCCACGCGATGGTTCAGAAAGTCGAGACTCTCCAGGTTCAGCTGAGGTTCAGGCTGAGGATTCTCCAAGCGTTTCACCAGTTCGTCCAAACGATTCTCCAAAGTGACCAAGCGAGCTGTTTGCCGGCGGGCCTCTGTCTCTTCATCATCCACTTGTTTCTGGCTAAGCTCCACCAGTCGCACATCCAGTGCTGACAGTTTCTGATCAAATTCCGTAAGTCGTTGAGCCGACAAATCCCAAGCAGCCTCAACACTTTGCACGCAGCAGTTCAACATGGCTTCAGCTTTTTGCAGCTGCCTCTGCATCTGATCGATGGAAGTACCTGCAACCACTGAAACTGATGCCTGGCTGATCTGGCTGATCTGACTGATCTGGCTGATCTGACTTGTCTCCAGGGCTTCACTGGGCCGAGCGGGGGCCAGCGGCGTTGCCATCGTTGGTGTTGCGATGCGCTTGGCCACGGGCTCCAGGATCTGACGGATGGGCCGACGCAGCGCTCCATCGGATCGAGATGGCCGCATGAGGGCCCGAGCGGTCTCAGCTATGCAAATCTTTGTTGCTAGCAACCTGTGAAAGTCTCTGAGCACAAACCAACCAGTGAAATCACTGTAAAATCAAAGTGAAAGCATAGTTGTGAATCATGTTTTCCAGCATTTTCCAGCTAAGCTGGAAGACTGCAGTGATCTTCCATGCCCTGGCATCATGAAAGCTGCACAGTCCAGCCTGATCTCGACGCTGTACATGCACCTAGGGAGCGGATCTGTCGGAAACGATCATTCTGTATTTCTTCTACTTCAGGACCTTCCTCAACCATCCTAAACCTGGGTTTTCGCTACTAAAATAAACAAATGCTTGATCAACTTTACTTTGCTTGTTTGTTGGGATCCACCATGATTTTGAGCATTGAAGTCTTTCAACCACCCCTTATGCTCGACCTCAGGGCCAGACATTTCTGCTAGTGCAGTAGACATAGCAACTTCCACTGGAGGACCTCGCGAGTGGCTCGTCTGCAGCAATTCACCGGCAGAAAAGATGCGTCAATCCATGTCAATTCTCAGAATATCTCAAAATGTTTTTCAGCCAAGCTATCATAAATTAATATAATATATATATATATTATTATAGAAAGGCATAGAAAGGCGAGACAGTTGAAAAATGTTGAAAAGCTCTTCCACTGAAGTGCATACTGGAATCTCACATCACGTTAGATGGCTGTGCCATTTCATCCATTTCACTGGGATATATATATATAACCATTAGTTAGATGGTACCCCTTAGTCGCAGATCCTGGGCCGCCAGCGACTGCGGTACTGGTGGCAAAGCCATGACCTGGAGTCTAATGGCAAGTAGTGGATGTGCTTCCTAGCTGGTAATGATCAGTGTGGGTATGGATCAAAATTGGATTGCCAAGAAACATGGGACGGTTTCAAATACTGAAAATGACCACAAAGACCCGATGTCTGGAATTTGACCCATACCCTGATTGATGCACCAAATGCAGTCTGCCGTTCCATCAGATTTGCACCTTCTCGACTGCAGCACCCTCTGCCTGTGCAACAGGTTCGACTGTGCCCCTGCGCATTGTCTGCTTAATTAAATGGGACTCCCTCAATGGGCGCGTCTTGATCAAAATCATGAGTGCAACCGCAATGTGCTCGTCAGTTTTGCATCACTTTATATAGCTTTCTTTCAAGCTGAGGAGCCGATTCTTCTGCGCATTATTATAGGTCTGAGGTCCCTGAAGATGCCTGAAGTATAGATGGTTCTGCCGGCAATTGGACGGGGAAGCATCATTATTATCATATTTCGCGAAGACCGAAGCAAAGGTTCATCAATCATGAACGCTCCATCTCACGATTGCCATGTTGAGGTGGCCTACTGTATATAAGTGTATGGCAGCCTTCAAGCTGCACCATGATGCTGGACGACCAAACAACCTTTCATGGACTATGCAGCTGTGGAATTGAAGCGCTGAATACATCTGAACACAACTTGTTGTGGGATCATCTCTACCTTGGTCTCAGACTCGCATTGTCAGACCTCTAAAAGAAACGCATACGTGTATCATATATCATACATCATATCTTTTATCACTTGCCCACTGCCATCCACCAACGCACTCGCCTCGAAGTACCGAATCTTCCGATCCACCACACTCGGTTGTGGGACCACTGAAACCTCCCAACATCGCCGTGCAGAGGTGCCACCTACGACACTGGCCATTGACTTTCTCGAGGTATACCTTGTTTTGTCCCAAGATTTGGCACACCTGCCGTTCAAATCCATCATCTGTGAAATCTCCAGGACATTATTACCAACTCATCCAAAGATCAGACAAGATCTATGACTATGTTGCCGGATTTTTTCACATCAAATGTCGAGTCGAAAATGTCATTTACATGTCATTTACATGACATTTAGTATTGCTAAATCCACCCAGGGCACCTCAACACGTCGCAACACCGGCCCTTGGTGGAGCACCACCTGCCGGGCAGAACGATCAAAGCCCCATTTTTTACACCATTCAGCATGGATTTCAGCACTGATACCATATAACGAATCCATATTTTGTTGAAATTCTGTTGCTGAATTTTTCTGTCTGTCGGAGTAAGATGAATTAGAGTCTTTTCTTGGATGAAGTCCCTTTTTTAATGGTGTTCTTATCTAAATCGTTGTGTTCTTTGCCTCAAAACCATGGCCATCCCCAGCTCCGCGCCGCAGCGCCTCCACAAGAAAGTCACGGCTGCCTGGACCTGCCACCGAAGCAGCCACCTCTGCCAGGCGAACGCCTGAGGCCTGGTCGCCATGGAAATCAAGGGATTTGCTCATGAAATTCAGTAATATCCTGTAGTATATACTATATATATATAATTATATATATATCAATTATCCATTTTGATTGATTTGTAGTATATATGTTAAAAGATTGAAGAATTAATACATGGATGTGGTTTAAAATGATTGAACCCAAAAACAAGTCTGTGGGTCTATTGGTACACCAGTTTTGAGCCAGCACTCTGGAGGGGTCATCACGGTGGCTTGTCAATGGTTGGGGGCAAAGACTTTGAAAATGTTGACGTCAGAAAATGCGGGATCGCTATCCTGGTTTCATTTTTTTGCCCAGGCCTGCTGTGGTGTAGCATTCAAACCTGGAAAGTCAAAGTCCAGGTATCGAAATGGAAGGCCTCAGACATGCTGGAGGTCCCAGTTTGTCGATGACACCGTGACCTGCTTAAAAGCGGTGTAACTGGTGAATTCCTGGCAGCCTGGCAGTCCAACCATGTACGGTTTTCATATCTCAGAAAGTGCGATGTTATTTTCTAAGGAGTGTCTAAGGTGTTCCATTTGCGGCTCCTAGTCCTTCAAAAACCAAGGTGCTGTACTAATTCTCAATCGGTCTCAAACTATGCGCATCCCAAACCAGGTAGGTGTGACTAAGGTACTGTCTCTACTTAGACACACCCACGCGGGAATTGGACAAGTTGGCACCAACTTGAGAAGCCACTAACATGTTTGTTGATGTTTGTTGGATAGTGTGGCAACATCCATCTATATCCCCTGAGTTTTATATGTTTTATGTCACATCCGATGTCACATCAGCAGCTCGGTCAAGCGGCTGATACTCTCTCGGGGATTCAAGATGAAAGATCCCGATGCTAAGCGGCTGAAGTCGCCTGGTCAGCGGTCGTTTCCTACAACCTTTGGGGGCGACCAAGATCAGGGTGGTTCCCTTGCGACCATAAGATTTGGAGCGTTACCCACATTCAAATCGCGAAAAAGGTCAACAAATGCACATGCATCCTTTAAAAGGACCTTCATTTATTCGATCTGTTTTTGGAAACATAATCAGTGTACGTGTATAGTATAATTTGATCATGTAGAGATATAGACAAAGATACCAGTAGAGAATGATAGAGATGTAGTAGAATTTAATCACAGTCAGTAGAAGATATATATATATATGTATAGTATGATATCAATATGATATTAACATCATTATGACCAGCCAAGCTCCAAAACATGACCAGCATCTGCCGCAGTGGCACCTGAAGGAGCCGTGGGCAGCAAGCCCTGGGCCGTCAAGCGACGCCACTCCTGGGCCGTGGGATTTGGATCATGAAGGCTGAAACATCGATGGGAAAAACCCATGAAAATCATGGAGAAACTGAGAACCCATGAAAGATCATGAAAGGATGGATTGATTTAGGAAGTCCTGATTTTAGAAATACTGAGAAAATGTGTGAGAACATTGTTGTTGCACAAGTACATACTTTTTGGAAATCGGGTTCCGTTGGACTTCAAAAGGAGTGTTTGCATCGATTTACTCTCTGGTGGCCAATAACCTTAGGGATTGCAATTGATTTCATCTAGCTTTCACTGATTGAATGCGAAGGATGAAAATTACTTAGGCTGTATCTATCTGAACTCTGGCTGAACCGTCCAAGGATTTTCCATCCTGCCCTGCTCCCGCCTCGGGGTCTTTGATGAGCATGAGATTTTGCTCTGGAGGTGCAACGAGAACCTAAGTATCTAAGTTCTCACGTGTGCCCCCAGAGATAAGTCTGAACATGTTCACAAGTGCAGCACATCATGTGTTCTTTGTTTCAAGGCACTTTAAAGACTTGCACTTCATCCCTCAGCAAATCAGGCTCCAACCCCTTGCAAGGGTGCTTGTGGCGGCACGGATGGCAAAATTTCTGGAGGGGGCTGGGGTTTCTCGCCACGAGCCAGGACGTGCACGTTGAAGGTAGCTTGCTGTCCATAGGGGTTTGTAAAGTCCACGGTGAAGTAGGATGGAGTTGCAAAGCTGGAAGTCAGTGATTGCTGGGTCGTGTTGAAGCGGTCCATGCGCCTGGCTACTTCTTGTCTTTTCCGATCTTGTCGGACAGACTCAGCAGCAGCCAGGAGGGCAGTGTGTTCTGAGACACCTAGCAGCAGCATTGGTTGGTTTACCTTCAGGAGGGAATCCACTTCCAATTTTTTGGTGAAGACGTGAACATGTGGAGATAAGATGTGGAACCTGTGCCATGTCCAAACCCATTGGCTCTACTGAATACACCATTGTCGTGCGGATATTTGGCACTCCCCTTGTCCTGGTTCAAGTCCTTTCTTGTGAGTCAAACCTCCCCTTTCTGTTGGTGAGATACCTTTCTTATCTTTTTTTGGTGAAAAGCTTCTTTCACTGGTCAAAAGCTGAATCATTTCCAGTTCTCTTGCTTCACTGCCCTTCAGACTCGACCCATCGCAGGCTATGCCAGGCCACTGTCGCGAGTGTCTTGTCGCAATGCTCGCAGCTGCTGCAAACGCTCGTGTTTCTTCTGGTTCAGCTCTTGTGCCATGCTTCCCTGACCAGCAAGGCCTTGCATGCCTCCCACCTTGGTGGACGGTTGGAAACGCCAACAGCCTGCAGCTGTTCAACCATGATGCTGGATGTGTGTTCAATATTCTGTATTGCCGAATAACATTGTGTATATCTATAAATATAACATAGATACAGATACTGACATATTATATTATAACTGTATTATATAAACACATATCAGCAAGGCATGTGTGTGTTACGGAAATTGAACTGAACTGAAATTAATCTCGACGGGTCTCTAAAAGTTCGAAGCTCGGCACCCAGAACAATTGCAGTCTATGGAGCCCATCATTCAAATCATTCAAAGGCGGAAGAAAGTCCTCATCTACAATTAAAAAAAAACTGGAACCCCCAAATCCAAAGGTATTTCATTTTGAAAAAGAACATTCATCTATTTTTTTGCGGCGCTCAATTTTGACCGCGTCTTGACCCACACCACTCCCTCCCTATAGAACTTAGCATTTTTTAAAAGACTCTTTCAAGGAAGAACAAGAACCTCAATTTTGGCATAAACTCCCACACCCATAACCAAGTTGGCACATCCTACATCATCCTATTCCCCCCTCAAAAAAAAAGGTGTAACTTTGGCTGAAGCAAATCTGTGGCCCACCATGGCATCTTGCCCGGGCTCCATGAGGGCCGAGACCTTCTGTCGCGTCTTGCGGGTGGGCGACGGCGCCGGGGGCGGCGACTGGGGGTTGCCATCCTCGGGCGGCGGTGGCGGAGGTGCTGCCAGCTCCTTTCGGCACTGGGGAGATGGCATCCATGCACAAAGGGTGGGGTGATATATGGAATTATAGAATATAAAAGATAAATGAAGATAAAAACCAGTGGAGAGCTATATCAGTATCATGTCAATATAGAAACATGTGAGAGACTATGTATGATACATGAGTACAAGGATGATATATTGAGAAAATAAAACGGCATACATTTTCAGATCATTTCTCACTATATACTCATGTCAAGTCGCATCCAACAGTGTTCAGAAGACTCATAATGGATAACGTTGACTGAACAGCGGATGAAATTAGACGAGTTTTTGATTAAAAACGTCTGCATGTTCGTGCGGTGATGGAAGATTGGTTGATAGTTTGAAATCTTGGTGAATTGGTTTGGGGTTGTTTGTGGGCATGGTAGTTCAATGTCATTTGATATCCATCAAAAATTGATACCCATCCCATCAATTTCCTAATATTACAGCAAGACCCTGAGGTGTGCCCAAACTCTGAATGAGTGTCTGGACAACGATTATGATGATGATGATGATGATGATGGTGGTGGTGGTGGTGGTGGTCGTGGTGGTGGTGATGGTGATGGTGATGGTGACGATGACGATGACGATGATGATGGATGTAAATGATTAAGGTTATGATGATGATGATGATGATGATCATCATCATCATGATGTTGTTGATGATGTTGTTGATGATGATGATGATGAATTATGTGCATTTGGACATTCCACTTTTGGCGAACTTCAAAAAATTGCAACCTTTCCACGATTCAGGTGCGGAGCAACGTCAGGGTTGCACCGCACATATTTGAACTCTATATGTTTTAATCCTTTAAACCACTTCAATGATTCCCTCTACTTTGTGACAGGATGTGACAGGCTCTCCTTGTATGCTGTCGGGGGTTGGCCTCGGTTGACCAGTAGAACCCGCAAGGTGCCCCGCGGTTCACCTGCGGCTTGCCAGGGTGTTGCTACACGTGGGGTAAAAAAAAAATGGAAAATATATAATATTACATTATCTATATTTATCTATGATATTAAATATAAAAAATATATTATATATTATCCGCCGACCCCTGCCTAGCTTTGGCCTAGGCGGGGCGGCGTCTGGGATCACCACAGGTGTGCGGCATTGCTGCGCGCAGGCCTTTCCATTTACTTTACTTCTCTTCGCCTGTCCAAGCTGGTAACTTCCACTAGGGCCTCCTTGCGCCGCGTCCTGGGCTCCAAGCTGCTGAGGGCTACGAGCTACTCTTTAGGGCCTCCTCGTTAAGCCTTCCAAGCTGCTAGGTTCTACTCCAACCTGCCCGGTCATGTCTCTCTTCAGGGTTTTGAAACTGCCGTTTGGCACTTTTGGTTCTACTAGGGCCAACCCTTGCCCCACCTTCTTAAGCCTTCCAAGCTGCTAGGTTCTACTCCAACCTGCCCGGTCATGTCTCTCTTAAGGGTTTGCAAACTGCCGTTTGGCACTTTTGCTTCTACGTGCCCGGTCACGTCTCTCGTCTTAAGGATTTCGAAACTGCCGTTTGGCACTTTTGGATCTACTAGGGCCAACCCTTGCCCCACCTTCTTAAACCTTCCCAGCTGCTAGGTTCTACTCCAACCTGCCCGGTCATGTCTCTAATTAAGGGTTTCGAAACTGCCGTCTGCTAGGGCCAACCCTTGCCCCATTTTCTTAAGCCTTCCGAGCTGCTAGGTTCTACTCCAACCTGCCCGGTCATGCCTCTTTTAACGGTTTCGAAATTGCCCTTTGGCACTTTTGGTTCTACTAGGGCCAACCCTTGCCCCACCTGCTTAAAGCCTTCCAAGCTGCTAGGTTCTACTCCAACCTGCCCGGTCATGTCTCTCTTAAGGGCTTCGAAACCTCCATTTGGCACTTTTTGTTCTACTAGGGCCAACCCTTGCCCCACCTTCTTAAGCCTTCCAGGCTGCTAGGTTTTAACTAGGCCCTCCTTTTTAAGTTTTACTAGGACGGCCTTTCTGCACCACCTTCTCTAGCCTTCCAACCTGCCCGGTCATGTCTCTCTTAAAGGTTTCCTCTCCTCACTTTCTCCCGGCCTTCCTAGATATTAATGGTTTCGAAACTGCCGTTTGGCAGTTTTCGTTCTACTAGGGCCAACCTGCCCCACCTTTCTTCGGCCTTCGTCGCTCCTATGCTCTGCTAGGGCCTCCTTGCCCCAAGCAGCTAGGTTGTAGTGCGTCCTTTCCCCGCCTTCTCAAGCGTCCAAGCTGCTAGGTTCTTCGGTGCCCCACCTTCTGAAGCCTCCCAAGCCCACGTTCTCAAGCCTTCCAAGCTGCTACTGTAGGTTCTATCCAACCTGCCCGGTCATGTCTCTAATTAAGGGTTTCGAAACTGCCGTTTGGCACTTTTGGTTCGACAAGGGCCTCCTTGCCCCACCTTCTCCAGCCTTCCAAGCTGCCAGGTCATGTATGCATTTATTCGTCACTGATGATGGCATTGAAGCTCCTCACTCGGCCTCAACGATGGTTGGATTGCATTGAACCCGACGGCTGCATGCAGTAAAACAAAATCCAAAACCTGCCCTTTAACAGGGGGTCGGCGGCACCCGGGTGTTAGCCCTTTTATATAACTGTAGAATCAGCATGAACATTCATAATTAAACTACATCCATAACTACAAGTACACAGTATATATATATATATGTCGAGAGGTGGTATACTATCATTGATTTTTATTAACTATTCATCTACATAACACTGACGTATCATAATGTATCATATCCTCACAACTCCTCACATAACAATTAGACCAAGCGGCAGTTGGGATTGTTTACACGCATGGTCGCCTGATGTGAAGTGCATCTGACACGAATTATATAAGCCCGTATCAAGATTAAGCAAACTGCAGCCTGTTTCTCAGAGTTTCTCACAACCATCTCTTTCCATTTTGGTGCAACTGCTGGCTCCCAACATCCCAAACCATTGCAAACCATCCCAAACCATCCAAAAAACATCAAACCAGAAACATTTGAGACATATCCCGAAACATCCAAAAATCTCATCATTCTGATCTCAAACATCCCTTAAATTCTTGCTCCAAACATCCCAAACATTGACCCCAAACCCAGCTCCCAATGGCTCCCAATGGCTCCCAATGGCTCCCAAGGCCTGTCAGGGGTTCAAGCACCGCATGCTCCCCTTCGATCTTTGCCACCTGATGTCCTTGTCTCACCAGCATCTCTAAGGGCACTGAAGCGACCTGAAAAATGGTAGAAACTGGAGAAAATGGAGGAAAAAAATAGATGACAGATGATGACAGGAATTCCATGGAATTCTACATGCTCCACATTGACATGAAAATCTACGGATGAACGTTGGTCCATATTGGTCCCTTACGCTTGTGATCCATCTCGGTGATCCATCTCGCTTTCAGTGCATGGTCCCTTATGCTTGTGATGCTCAGTCCCCATCACCACTTGTCCTTCAAACTCCCACTGATCAATGGAAGAATCAAACCAAAATATCACATCAACAGCATCAACAACGTCGGAAAAAAAGGCCACCTAGGCACTCCAATCTGCATCTCTGAATCCGCGCTCCAAATTTCAATGTCCACACTTCGAGCACTGAGGTATTCCACCAACCGTCGATGAATTGTAGCTGCAGACCTTGCCACTGAGTTCACGCTGTAGCCATCCATGCTGTACACCACGGCCAGGCGCTCATTGGTCACCGCACTCCGAAGTAGACACGCTTCTCCAGCCTTCCCAGCCAAAGCGGCCGTGGTGGTCTTCACAGGAGGAAAGAGGAAGAAACGCAATTGGAAGTAGATTCCTCAGTTGCAGATTTCGTGGCCAAGATTTAGTCAAGAGTTCAATCTCAGAAATGTAGTAATATTATGAGTATGCAAATTATCTACAAATATGAAAATCGTGCAGGATTTGAACTGCTTTCCCAGCAAACAGCGCATCCAAGTCCCAGGATCTTTCTCCTTCAAGTTCTGCAAAGCTCCTGAGCGCCACCAGCTCCAGGGTGATTTCATCAGCTTGGAGCAGGTCCTTGGAGCGGGCCAGGAAATCTACCTCAAAATGTGCTGTCGATGATCTTGTCAATGCTGTAAAATACCATGGCTTGCCATAGAAAAAGTAGTACTAGATGGTACTAAATGGTACTAGAATAAGACTCTCATCAAGAAAGTTGTTTCATGTCGCTCCTCATCTTCGAACTTCCAGCGCAACTCACGTCTTGCAGGCGCACTTTCGCCCGCAGCCACGGAGGGACTGGCCCCTGCTTTGGCTGCGGCACTGGCTTTGGGCGGGGCACCGGCGCTCAACAAATGGGCGCGGTCCAATGCGCCCAGGGGCCTCGAAGGCGGTGCTGTGGCGGTGCCTTGAGCCTTGGGTGCAGAATCCTGGCTCAAAGGGATGTCAGGGGAACATATTTGGCCACACTTTTGGCAGGTTACACCCATAGTATGTCATAGTATCATATGTACCCAAATGTCCATTTATATCCATTTATAATATCTATTGGTTAAAGAATAGGATCCTCTGCGAGAATTGGCCTTGAACACCCCATGTTTTGTCGCGAAATGGTGGGTTTAGGCACTGCTACCCTCAGCAACTGGTCCTTGATAATGTTGTCATCAAAGCCGAGGGGGGGTGGATCGCTCTGCACCGCTTGGTCTCTCAAATAGATCTTCTCAACCACTGGCGCAGCTTGTACAGCCGCCCCTGGTAGACCCTTCTGACCGGGCACGCTTGGGATTGGTTGATGCACACTTGGAACCTCAACCCCACGCTCAGCCAGAGATGCAGTTGAAAGACCCCACAGCTGTGCAGAGTCAATCATCATGAATTTGTCGTGGTTCCACAAAGATTACATAAAATTCACGAAAATATCATGAAATTATCATGTCACTGGTGGACTTGCACCAGCTGGGTGGATTCCCAACATCTTGATGCGCTTGCTTTATACTGAGTCCCAGGCAGTGCCAATTGGCTGGACCTCAGTGGCGTGTCCGCAGTGAGGCCCAGAAACTGATTGGTGTTCCGACACCCTGCGTGACCTAGGGCCCTAGGGACCCGAACAGGCGAGATTGCCTTGGCAACTGGAGCTGCAGATATGTCCTGTCATTGGCACCACAGAGGTGTCGGAGGAAACTGTGGACAAGAAAATCGAAAGAGAACAGAACTACCCAAGCATGTTATACCAGGGGATTATTGAATGTGCATACCTGCCATGAGCAAAACATCTCGTCTAGTCAATGGTTATCCTCTTTTTAGCTGGATTTCTTTGTACCAGCCACAGATTCCGCCAAGGCACTACCGCTGGCTGGAGAAATGTTCCGGGTAGGCCCGGCTGCCTGATGCGATGTCAATTTCCAGAAGTTCAAGCTGGAACCATCTCAAACCCAAAGGATATGCATGGAACCCAAAGGATATGCAGATCCAGTAGTAATTGTCTAGTACTCAGCAGGAAAATCATCCTCCAAAGCGGGCTTCAATTTCAGGAGTACAGTATATCCTTGGAAATATGATTAATCGTCCAAAAATCATCTTCCAGAGGTTCCAACATGTTCCAACATTTTTTGAAAAAACGAGGTTGTCCCATGTTGTCCCCATAGACTCGGCGCATCCATCAAGGCACAATGGCTGCAGTGTGGACATCGGCGTTGGCTGAACTGCCGGCCTTACTGCTGCCCGGTGACCGGAAAACCCCCTCTGGGGAGACCAATGTTTCTTGGAACAAAAAGTGTGATATGGATTTACAATGATTTACATCGTATGGTCACTATGGTCTAGTCTGATCTCTGAATTGGAGAACTTTGATTTCTGATACACTATTTCATACGACACTGCCAAGCGGCACAACTAGAGCAGACTAGCGTTGCTCCTAGGAATTCCAGCAGCTTTCGGTGGAGCCTTCCTGCATGCCCAACAAAACCACCCTAGATCACAGACCCCAACGACTCTGCCAAGTGCTTTGTGGCCTATCATCTCCATTGTGATATCTCCATCCTCAAGTGATGAGTTCCCAAGTTCATTCAGTTTCCTTTTTGTCCAACCGAAATCATTTTCGGGGCAAGGCACAACGGTGTCTCTGGAGGCGGCAACGGAACGTGCTGTCTCAGCCACCTGCGCGCGCGGTCTGGTCATGGGTCGCACCACAGGATGAGGACTCTGAGGCGCTGGCTGCACCACACGGTCGCCACATAAGTTGAAGTTGGCTCGGAGCCGGCTGGCCTCGGCACGGGGATGGAAACATGAAACCACCACCCATTATTAAGGAGGAACAACTGGAACAACTATCGGGTTCTGAAGGTGGGAGTGTCAAACATATCGACTTGCAGACCAGCAGTCATTGCGGCTACAGTGGTGGTTGCATAATATATTGCTAGTTAATGTTAATAATATATGTACGTATATATATTATATATATATATATTATATTTGTAAATATAATATATTTATTGATATATATTGCGAAGTGTAACAAATAAACACGTTCCTTGAGGGTTTGCTTTTCTCATCACATCCAGCTTCTCCAAGTGCAGGTTGCCTGTCGCCCACCATGGCGTTATTTGCAACATAGGAAATACACGTTTTGTCTTCTTGACCTTTGTCATTGAGCCATCTCAATTGCTTTCTTAATGAGTCCCCGAGCAATCCTCAAGAACCACTCGGATCTCATATGGTTCTTCAAGGCAAAGATGGGCAAAGTGGTTTGAAGATCGGCCCATAAAGTGCCAAGAGTACGGTGTCGACGCGGTTCATGATCTGTGATGATCTGTGCAATTAACATCAAATAACTACATCAATTAACATCAATTAGCATCAAGTAAATGGGGGCCTTGCACTTGAACAGGTCACCGATGTTCTGAGATTCGGCCCCACCATACCCACTCCACCATCCATGCCAATGTTCCAAAAGTCTGGGATTCCAGGCCGACACCGCGGGTCTCACGGGTTTCCCAAGCTCCTCTGGCCTTAGAGTCATGCCTGGTGCCGCAGGAGGCATCCACACCTGGCCGATGTCCATCAGAGCTGATGTCTTGGCCACAAAAAGATCCTGATATATTCCTGATCAAAATGTAGGTCTGGGTCCACATGAGGCTGAGGGATCCACATCCTGTCCTATGGTGCTAGTACCCATTCAACCGAAGTCGTTCAGCCGCCTCTTCACCCAGCAGGGATAAGCCAGGGCCGCCATAAAGCTCTAGATCGAAGCCCAAGGACGGACCTGGGCCGCAAAAGGTGGTGTAAGAAAATTCTCTATATATAATAAATATATATAACTACAATATTCTACAATAGCAGTACGTGGGGAGTATGCTACAATCATCCATGTTGGCTTCGCAATATCCAACTCACCCGTGGCAAGTAACAAACCCACCCTCTGGGTGCGTCCTACGCTCACCAGGAGTAGCTGCACAGGCTTTCAGCAGGCCCTGTGGCGTGGCAAATATCATCTCCACCTCTTCTATTTTTGGGGTAACAACAGACAACAGAATCATCTCTGGCCCTCAACATGCACCAAACTCTGTGATCTGAAGACATGCGACAAGCTCCCCTTGAGACATCCTGGCTGCCAGAAATTGCCAGTCTGTCCCAGACCGCATTCGCTGCTGTTCTGATGAACCTAAAGAAATAGATTCAAAACATTTCAAACCTCATTGACTTTCCAGTTTTTTGGCACCTCGCTGGTGGTGTGATAGAAGGGCAGCAGCACCGTCCAGCCCAAAGTTTGCTTCCTGAAGATGTCTGTTGCCTCCAAAGTGCTAGCTGCTAGTAGCCGGTTGGGCGACAAGTTCCAGGTGTCCCAAGATTTCTGCATTTGGGGGTGGCAAAATATATCACCTTCAAATGATAAATGGGGGGGCGAAGGCTTGGGATGTGAACCTATCGAGCTCACACCTTGCAATCATCCCAAGCTGCCACTCTCATGAATCGTTGGGGTCAACTTGATCAATTTGGACCTGACAATAGCTCAATATGCTCATAATATTACCACTACATGTGTTTCCAAGTGTGTGTAGCACAACCGCCTGAAGTAATAATCTACAACTGCACGTCATCCCCACGGAGCCTGTGTCACTTGTGCTCCCAGCAAAGGCGCAGTAGCCGCCTGAAGGTCCGACAAAAGGCTGGGCCGGAACCCAAGAAGATTTCTCCTAGGTCTGGAAAATTTGAACCTCACTAGGCTGCTTGACTATGGCTCAAGATGGATTGTTTGATGCTCAAAATGACCATTTCACATATTTCTTAGCAATGCCCACTTGTCCGGCAGGTTTCATGCAACCTGCCTTTGGCCAACTGCCTTTTACAAATTACAAGGCCATTCAATTCTCTTTTGGCGCGCAAGATACATACCAGTACATGATGGTGGCTCAACTGGCTGCAACTCCGAGAGGTTCAACCACCAAAGAATGCGTGATCCAGTGCTACAGGCTAAATCACCCAAAGCCACACGTGCCAATTCCCGTGCCAATTCCTTCCTTCAGAAGGTTGTGCATATTGACATTCAGCCTTGCAAATTAAAACGGGTGTGAAATAGTTTTAGGAATTTTTTTTTGAGCAGGTTTGGGAATTTTTTTTGGATTTCTTGGCTGGTACCATTTGCCTAGTGTTTGCAACGGTTTGGAACTTGAATTTGTCACTTGCATGGTATTTGCCACATTTGGGCATGTTCACCTTCCATTTTGCATGGGATTTACTACATGTGGGCATGTTCACCTTCCATTTTGTATGCTATTTGCCACATTTTGGCATGTTCACCTTCCATTTTGCATGGGATTTCCTACATGTGGGCATGTTCACCTTCCATTTTGTATGGTATTTGCCACACTTTGGCATGTTCACCTTCCATTTTGCATGGGATGTTCTACATGTGAGCATGTTCACCCAAATATCTACAGATGCGGAAGCTTGGGATTAGATAAAAAGCAGGTGGGGGGGATTGAGGGAGGGCGCTAGCTATCTATCCAGCTAGCTAGCTATCTAGCTATCTAGCTAGCTATCTATCTAGCAAGCTAGCTATCTATCTAGCAAGCTATCTATCTATCTAGCTATCAATCTACCTATCTAGCTAGCTATCTTGCTAGCTATCTATCTACCTATCTAGCTATCTAGCTAACTATCTAGCTATCTAGCTATCTAGCTTTCTATCTATCTAGCTATCTATCTATCTAGCCATCCAGCTGTCTATCCAGCTATCTAGCTATCGAGCTATCTAGCTAACTATCTATCTAGCTATCTAGCTATCTAGCTTTCTATCTATCTAGCTATCTATCTATCTAGCCATCCAGCTGTCTATCCAGCTATCTAGCTATCGAGCTATCTATCTAGCTATCTATCTATCTAGCTAACTATCTACCTATCTATTTAGCTATCTATCTATCTATCTATCTATCTATCTAGCTACCTCTTTATCTATCTAGCTAGCTATCTATCTATCTATCTATCTAGCCATGTATCTATCTAGCTATCTATCCAGCCATCTATCTATCGAGGTATCTAGCTATCTATCTCTCTAGCTATCTATCTATCTAGCTGGCTATCTATCTATCTATCTAGCTATCTATCTACCAAGCTATCTATCTATCTATCCAGCTATCTATCTATCTATCTATCTATCTTTCTATCACATGTAATCCTGTCAGCTTTCCAGAGAAGGTTAGTTCGCAAAAACCAACTAATGTAACTTGGGTTTAAGTTTAAATAAAAAAAAAGCGGGAGGGGGGGATTGGGGGGAGGGCGCAGCGCCTCCCCCCAAAGCAGAATGCAAGCACCTCTTCTCACATGTTACGTTGCTAGTTTTCAAGAGAAGGTTGGTCATGTGATACTCAGGGATGTAAATACTGTGCAAAATGCATCTTACATGAAAATCAAGTATTTAAAGCAGGCAAAGCAAAAAAAAAGCAGAGAAGCAAAAAAGCAGAGAAGCAAAGAAACAGGAAACGCACAAAAGCAAAACAGCAGAAAGGCAAAGAAGCAGGAAAAGCAGAAAAGCAGAGAAGCAGGAAAGCAGGAAAAGCAGGAAAAGCAGAGAAGCAAAGAAACAGGAAAAACAGAAAAGCAAAAAAGCAGAAAAGCAGAGAAGCAGAGAAGCAGGAGAAGCAGAAAAGCAAAAAAGCAGAAAAGGCGAGAAGCAGGAGAAGCAGAAAAGCAAAAAAGCAGAAAAGCAGAGAAGCAGGAAAAGCAGGAAAAGAAGGAAAGCAGAGAAGCAGGAAAAGCAGAGAAGCAGGAATCCAAAAATAATTCCTAAACCTGATTTTTTTTAAAAAAAAAAAAACTAAAATAATTAGCCCTCCAATTAAAACCCATTAAAACTCCAAGGGCCATTATATAGTTACACAACATCAATCATGTTTTTCTCAATATGAAGCAACAAAAATGGCCTCAACAAAGGGGAGATCCATGCCACACAACCCACAGATACCCACAGCGGTGCCATGTGGTACCTGGTTCTGCAGCATTTGCGCCATCGGACCGGGCGTCCGCAAAACTGCCACCAGCTCCACCACCACGGCACAGTCGGGATGACACCTGGGTCCACCAGCTGCGAATGGGATGGCAGGAGCCTCACTTGTTGCATGTTTTTCCCAATGGTTTGGGGCTTGGGGTTTCCCAAAAGTGTTCAATATGTTCAATGATATGTATTTTAGATTATAGATCTTAAAGTCCCACATTGTCCTAAGTGGTTTTCGCAGGCATTCATTCGCATTGATGGATGAAAGGACCAGACTGCCGACAAATATGCAAGCTTTGCGCACTTTTCTTCAATATGCTTGCGCTGGATCAACCTGGTAAAATTGCAGTGACCTGATACACAGAAAATCTGCTTGCATTGTGTCATTGTGCTTCTGGGGACGGGCCGAATCTAACCAGGTGACCGAATCTAATCTGCATCTGGATAT